AGGTTTGGACAATAGGATAAGCCCTGGTGGCTTAGCGTGCCACGTAAATCAAGTTGCTATGGCTGATTCACGGGGCAAAGAGGTTTCTGGTTGAGCTGAAAGGAACATTTTCTTGTAGGCCTGGACTCATTCCTAATTCATTTCAGGATAAATGTTAGGCAGCACAGCAAGTCTGTCAGGTGTGTGCAGTTCATAGTGCCTTTCAGAAACATGGTATTGTCTAAATCAGAGGAGGGTAGAAGGTAAATCTCTAGATATCTGGGTCTTTGATTCTCAGAAGCCCTTACCGGTCTGGCCAGTAGTCAGAAATGCTAAGAGTTGAAGTCTAAAACATGTGGGGATCTACTACCCATGTCCTAACTACTTCAAAATAGTGCCTGGAATTCTCTGAAGCTCCATTTTGTGTTGACATGGGTTGCAATCCTATGAGAGAGAGAGAGGGAGGGAGGGAGGGAGAGAAGGGAGGAGGAGGAGGAGGAGGAAATAAAAGAGAATACTCCTGTTTTTTTCAGACAGCTCTCAGTTGGTTGTCTTCTGTGGCGGCCGAACTGTGTTCTGCTTGGAGGATCACAGGTGGCGCAGACCTTTGACAGTGCTATACCAAGCAGTTTTGAACATTGTCTATGCTGCCCCAATGATGAGGAGACTTCGCTGGGAAAATGCAATACTTAATCTAAGCAGCACTTGCCCTGCTGTTGTGATTGTTACCTACAGTGCAGTTGCATAAACTTTCACAGAAACTTTGGTGGATTATTAGAATGCTTTAGAAATAAGCAGAAGCCGAGCAAGCAACATTGCTATACAAAAGTCATTAAAAATGAATTGTGCATGCTCCTTTCCCTCCCATGCATTGAACTTTGCAAATGGGAAAAAGGACCCTCTTAGGACTTACTGTGAACCTTTTAACTCCTCTCCTCTTCTGATTCTTGGCTGAGCATTATGCCAGTACCCCTTTAAGTGCTCAGTGGCCCTCCTACAGTGAGACCCGACAGAGGTCCATTCATTCCAAGGGCTTGGTGTGTGTGCTTTAAGCATCTCCTCCATCCTGTGTTGCTTGTGAGCTTTCCAGGAACATCCAAACTGCTATTTACTACATTTAGATCCAACTTCTTTCTGAGGAACTCAAGACAGTCGGCTTGGGGCTCCCAGGCAGTCTCCTATGCAGGCATTGCCCAGGCCCAAACCCACATGGCTTAGTAAGATCGCATCACATCCTTCCAGATCATGTTCTCCCAAGGGGTAGATGATGCATCTTGGTCCTGCAAGGATTTCAAAAGTGAGAGAAGAATGCATCTCTGAGCCAATGGACAGATGAACAGGAGAGGCTGGTGGCTCCTGTGCCAGCTGGGCTCTTTATCCATTGTAGATTATCTGAGCTTTATTCATGGTGCTGAACTCTATCACCTAAATAGGTTCACCACCACTGATGGCTCCTATAAGCTCATAATAAAAGAGCATTATCTTTGTGATCAACAGTGGCTTGTCTTAGACCATTTCTGCTTTCCCTGTCTCCCCCTCTCCCCTAATTATGCAAAATACAGCAGATGCTTTTGAGCGATGAGAAACAGGCTTAGCTTTGGACTGTGCACTGTGTTTTGCAAATACGCATAACCAGGAAAAGGCTTAAAAGAAACAGTTAGTGTTGTTATACTGTAGGACTGGGAAGCCTGGGTTCTAGTCCCCACTTAGCTGCAAAGCAAACTGGGTGGCTTTGGGGGAAATCACTGGCTCTCAGCCTAACCTACCTCACAGGTGAGGCTAAAATGGAGAAGAGGAGAAAGATGTAAACTACTTTGGGTTCCTTGAACGAAAAAGAACAGTGGATTATAACAATAGTACATGAAATAAATAAACAACATGGATTGGGTTATATTGTTTCTTCCTCAGTGTCTCGTCCTGCTAAGTATAAGTTGTGCACCATGAATGAGTTTTGGCCACTTTTGAGTCTTGGTGTTTGAGTTTGACCAGGTATGTCACCATATTGGAGATGTGTTTGAATATGTTTGTGTTTGGGAGGTCTCCATTTGTTCTGAACAATGGGGATCCATTTCTATTTACCGTGCACCTCAGGATATTTATTTATTTATGAAAAACATTTCTATGCCGCCCCCATCGCAACAAAGCCTCGGGGCAGCTTACAGCAAAAACCAAATTATACAATAAAAATATTAAAACCTGGTGCATCTCAGCTTAAAAATAATTTTAAAATCCTACAAATGACCAATAAATTAAAACTTAAAATAAATTTTAAATAAAAAGGTCTTAGCCTGGCGCCGAAAAACAAATAACGACAGTGCCAGGCAGACCTCTCTGGGGAGCGCATTCCATAGATGGGGCGCCACCGCAGAGAAGGCCCTCCTCCGGGTACTCACCCTCCTAATATCATTCACAGAGGGCTCCCGGAGAAGGGCATCTGTTGCTGATCTCAAGGGGATAGGGTGTAAATCCTGCTTATAATCATGGTGTTTCAATATCTTGGCAGAGCAGTTACACAGTTCATTGCCTTTAGTGACACTGGCACTTGGCACTCAGTAACCCGTTTGTGGGAGTTCCAGCAACTGTTAACACAGACATTGATTAGGCAGCTGTCATATCTGCTTAATTATTCTGTTGCAAAGTGCCTCTGAAAGGCAGCATTGCTTGTCTTCATTATCTAGCAAGTGAGGATTTGGAGAATATTTCTTGGACAGGAGATCCATACGAAGCATTATGAAATAACAGTTCTTGTAGCTAAATAGCTCGATTGCTTCCATTTTCTCAAAACTTTTTCCCTCCACACTAAACTATCAGGGTTATTCGTGTTTTCCATGTGCCTGATTTTATATATACTTTATGCCTGGACCTTAAAGTCATCTTCAGAGGCCCTCTTCCAGATTCTTTTGCAAAATGAGTGTCCCATAAGGAGAAGGTCTTTGCAGTGGTGGCATCCCAGGTGTGAAATACTCTCCTCAGAGATGCTTGCCTAATGCATAACTTTTACTTTCTCCTTAAAAAAAAATCCCACTGTTTTTAGCCTGAGGAAGTTCTTTAAAAAAAAGTGTTAGTGAACTTGAGGATCCTTGTACTGCAGCTGACTTTTTTTCTTCTTTTTACACTTAGTTTTATGTTCTTTAAATTCTTAAATGTATTATAATATAGTACGTGATTGTGTTTTATGGTTTTAAGCTTATTTTGTGAACTCCCCAATAACTTTTGCTATGGGGAGTTGGAAGACAGAAATGTAATATAATTAATAAAAATATTATGTAGAATTGATTTCTGGCATGTCATTAATCCCTAGCTAACTTGGCACCTACAGCTTCTCTAAAAAATGGGGCTTTAAACCCACTGCTTCACCTAGGATTTCTTTGCGGGGCTCTTTGTGGGATTAAGATCGGTTCCTTTATGTATCTTTTTTCAGCGGATGGGGAAGGTTCATTTCTGTGCCTTTCTGTATGTTAGTTATACAATCACAAGTTGGCACTGCAGGACTGTGTAAACATGAGCTTCGCATTCTGGTTCATTTCATCCTTTCCAGAGAATACTAGATTTTCCTCTCTTTAGAAAGTGAAGAAATGTTTGGTAGAGCCCTTGGAGGAAGATGACATTGCATAAGGTACCCTCAAATTGCTGTCAGCACTCAATGAATGAGAAGAAATGTAGAGAAGCCCAGAGGCCTCTCCCTTGTGATCCTGACTGACTCTTACGATCTGCTTTTTGATGCTCTCGTCTCGTTGTCTCAGCTCTCTGCTTTTCTGGAGGTGATGACTGTGGTGGGGAGAACTTTTCAGCTGCAGTCTCCCCTTTGTGAAATACACATCCCAGGCAGATTTGAGAGGTACCAGGTTATTGTCTTTTAAACTTTAGTGGAAGGCATTTTCCATACTAAGGCTTTTAATGACTGCAGTCTTCTCCTCCTGCTCTCTTTGCTGTTTTTATTTCATTCTTATATGTATGTATGTATGTATGTATGTATGTATGTATTTAAAACATTTCTATGCAGCCCCCATCGCAACAAAGCCTCGGGGCGGCTCACAAAGGATAAATAAATACATAAATAATAAAAATATAACAATTAAAAAATGGTTTAAAAATATATGTACACTTTCATCTTGTCACCACTGGTGATCAGGTATTTCGCACTGGTTAGTCAGGGCAAGTCAGCTGCTCCTTCAGCAGCCTGCTTGGCTTCCACACTCTGCAGAAAAAGGAAATATGTAACTCACTGGCTTGGAGACCCCGTCTGGCAAACTGTGGTTTGCTGAAACCCGAAAACATTTCATGGTCAAACACTGCTCTCCTCTCACATGCTAGCCTTCAGGGGATTGAAATCCAAACTAAAAAGCAGTGTTTTATGTACTACAACCATAATTTGATCCATGGTTTGAAGCAACCATGACTTATAGGAAATACGTATGTAAACCATAGTTTCCTGGTTTGAACATCATGGAGAAACTGTGATTTTCTTCTGGTCTTCTGCAGGTCTTCTCTGCAGCTGAACATATTACAGGGACCTCTTGAAAATAAGCAATGGTTTTTGGATCAGGGTTTCCTAGTCTAAATTACTTATGGCCAGGAGTGGACATCAGAAATAGCATAATTTTTGTGCAGAGGAAAACTGTTCTGTCTGTGCTTGTTTTGTGAAGGTGCTCATAGACAGCAAACTTTATCATCATTATTAGTTGATGATCTTCCATGTTTAGAAGGTATTCACAGAATTTCCGTTTCATATGATTCCCTTGAAGCTGTAATGAATGACAGGGGAAAGTGATCCATCTTGTCTTTTTCATCTGTGTGTGCGTGCGTGCCAGCCAATGTAGCTGCATGACGTAATTGTACAGTTGGGTCTATTTGCATGCTTTATGATATTAATATTCATGCCGGTCTTTTCCGCCCTTCTGCTATTAGCCCTGCAGGGCTCAGCTGGACATCAAGCGATATTGGAAGAGGCTTCCCTGAAGCTTGCAGAATCTCCCAATTGCTTCCTGGAACTGGGGTTGGCATTGCCTGCATTAGGAAGAATGTCTCTTGGGACAGGACTAAGTACCCTCAGCTTGCTCTTGGGGGCTTTAACAGGTAGGACTGTGCTTTTATGATTCATGTTGCAATAGTAACAAACCATTAATTTGCTTCCAAGGCCAGATGGAGAAATAAAAGCCTGCACAGCTGCTCTATTGTGCAGCAACACCTTGGAAGTCAGATAAATGAAAGCACTGGACCGCTTCTTTACTTTCTTTGCTCTCAAATGTCTTACGTAATGAAGATGGTGATCTAAAGTAAGCCTCTTCAGGTTCAGACCTTAAGCTTTTAGGACTTCTTTTTCTTGTCTAAGGACATATTCATTTATTATAATTATATCCCACCTTTATTTCTTCCAAAAAAAACCCAAGGTGGTTTATATCATTCTCCTCCTCTTCCTCTCCATCTTAGCCTCACCACAACAACAACCCTGTGAGGTAGGTTGGTCTGAGAGTCTGTGACTGGCTCACACTCTCCCAGTTAGCTACATGGCCGACTGGAGACTAAAGCTCCAATCTCCTGAGCCCCAGGCCTGCACTTTTAACCGCTACACCAGACTGGCTCCTCGGATTGTGCCTTGAATGCCTTAGAATCTCAGTGGATGTGAGCAGTAAAACCTTGTGTGATGTCTGGATGGCTCTTTATCTTTTTCTTTCAGGCCAAGGTTTATTCATTTGTACAGATGGCTGTTGAGGTTAACCCTTCCTTTTGAGGCTTTGGTTTAATTTGCATTTTCCTCCCTCCTATTCAGCCTTCACCCATCTGCTAAATCCTCAATATCAATATCAAAAAGATAGGGGCTTTTTTCATTTACGTATTTATTTATTTTCAGGAGGTTTCCATTCCAGTTTCAGGGATGATGATGAGGAGGAGGAGGATAGAGCCAGTATGGTGTAGTGGTTAAGAGTGTGAGCACTTGCTGCCTGTGGGCAGCACCTGAGGAATGTTGGACACTTCGTAATGGGCTCACTTGCTTTGCCTGTCCTTTCCTGGCTGGGTCACAGAATTCTTCCTGTATTATGGCCCCCAGAGCTCTGAAATGTTGCCCTCCTTTTCCAAGGTTGGCTGGTTCTCACGCTTTGCCTGAGAATCTTTACTAGGTAACCTTGAAATTGCCAAGCCCTCTGCCTGCCTTTGGCCTTCAGCCTTCTCAGAATTGGATGAATCTGTCTGTGTAAACTGTAAGATGTGAGAGCGGGGGCCCCTCTTTGCAGGAGGAATGTGAGCGAAAATTTGGCAGGGTGTAGCAAAAGTGAGTAGCCGGAAGGAGTTCCCCTTTCCTGATAATACTAGAACCCAATGAGATCACCCTGCGAAAATGAACCATTAAACTATGGAATTTGCTATCACAAGGTGTGGTAATGGGCACCAGCTTGGATGGCATTATAAAAGACTTTTGTTCTTGTTTGTTGGGATTTGAAGTTTAATAGCAGACTTTCTTCACCCTAAAAGAAATCCTGTGGAAAACATGGGGACAGCCTTGGGGAATGATGGCATGAAAACTCTCTGAAAACGTCTGCGAGTGAGGGATCACAATTCTTGTCTAGGGAAGCCCTAAGTGTGCTTGTGTAACAGTTGGTTAATTAGTTCATACATTAGATATAGAAATACAAATTTCCCGCCTCCTATTGCTCCTGCTTCTGCTGCTAATGTGCAAAAGAAATACTGTGGTGAAGTTCTTAGACTGTGGTGTTATATTCATCTAGCTGGGAATAAGCCCCAGAGAAGTCAGTGAGGCTTCTGAGCAGATATGTGTAGGATCGCTCTCGGTATGTACTAGTCTCTCAATGTACTAGAGGATACATTGTAGGTGAGATCACTTTGTCCTACTTAAACAGTTCAGTGCAAATTGGAGAGAAGCATCCCTGAATCCCACTTCCCTTTGGTCCTGTGTAATGTACAAACTGATTGCCTGAGCAGGAAAATCTGAGTTTGAATCACAGTAATTTCCAGCATGCTGTTTGCTTTTTAGTCTCCGGTTTTGCTTTATGAAAGTGGGTCTGTTGAACAGGCTTTGCCAACTATGCAGTGTTTATTGATCTTTGGGAACTGCCACTTAGAATTGCAGTGGCGATACACTGAATGCTCCATTCACGTGCTTATAGTTTCTGTTTCCATTCACAAACCTTTTGATTTTTAAAAATAGTATATATGTATCCCATCCTGTCCCATGGAGGCTGCTGATCAGACTAACACTCACTTAGCATCAGTATGCCTACAGTAAGGGCATGTTTGTTTACTACATTTATATCCTGTTATTCTTCCAAGGTGATGCACCTGATCTGATTTACCTCTCCATTTTATCCTCACAACAACAGCCTTGTGAGGTAGGTTAGGCAGTGACTGGCCCAAAGTTGCTGAGTGGAGATTAGAACCTGGATCTTCCAGTCCGATACCACATGGACTTCGCATCAGATGGTTGTTTTGAAAATTATCATTTTGCATGTACTTAGTTATGTCACGATTATTGTGTGCCACATGATGTAGATTAGTCCAATCCTGTGCATGTCTACCTGGAAGTAAGTTGCATGGAGTGGCATCCCACAGAAATGGCTTCCATACCACTGTGGATATGTGTGGATGGGGCTTCAGGTATCTACAGTCCATGGCATCACCTCCCATTAATTACTGCATCCTCTTTTAGCTGCTACTTTGCTGGGTCCCAGAATCTTGCCTAGAAGTGATGGCAAGAGTGTGCCCTTTGTTATTTCCACAGTCAAATGGAACTTGCTGAATCCCAGCCTCCCTGAAATGCCACATGCCACATTCCAGTACAAAGAGGGTGCTCTCTTCAGGCTGCATTGGTACCATCCCCGATTGCTGTAGCAACTTTAAAAAGACATTTTATCCACAACGAGTGAAATAATGATGTTGAACTTCTAAAAATAGGGCAAGTCAAACTCTTGGTCTTCTGGGTCCAGCTGAAATATAAGTGTTTGCTGCTTTCCAGTCAAACATTGTGAGTTATCTTTAAAGACATGATTTATGATGCCACTTTTATAGCTCTCTTGAACAGCTTCTCTCTCGCTCTTGCTGTCTTTTGTATTCCTAAGATAAATGGGACCGTGAAAGAAACACTTATGGCATAGTTGGTGAAGAGGAGAAATGTATGAACCAGAGTTTATCCTGGAGCCTTGTGAACTACTTATAGTTATGGTTTGCTGTTGTACAGGAGCTATTAGTAGTGATTCGTGTTTCTGTGAACAAAATCTCCTCCTAGAAATGGAAAAGATGCAACACTGCAGAAGTGTGAGCATGTTGTAAATGGGGTGTGGAGAAAATGGATCTTCTCTGGTTGCTTGCTACATGTTGTTTTTTAAAATGAGAAGGATCAAGTGCCAGCACTGAAAAATCCCAATGTGCTTTGGCCAGCACATGGCCACTTTGTGATGGTGACTGGTGCAATGAAACCACTGTGATGGGTGTGTGCCTGTGCTTGTGCATTTGCCATGTTGGTGGATTTGCTTCTGTGCAGGCACGCTGTGTGGATGCACCAAAATTTCCACTTGCATCTGTTCGCCTTTCTATATATTTATAACCATCACTCTGTTTGAGCAGATGCTGTTTCAGAGTCACCATGTACATGTGGGGAACCCGAAGAACTAGCCCATGTTTCCAATATCATGCTTCCAAACCCCTGTGCATTGTCATGGAAGTCTGCATAGGCACATGCTGATGCCGTATCGATCACAGAGAATAAGTGCTTTTCAACAGATACCATTCATTGAACCAGTTGGTGTTAGTGCGAGCATGCAAGCTTTTGAAGTTACACAGAATTCTTCCTCAGGAAAGACGGAAGAATAGCCATTTTTGAACTGTACTGATCAGGTTTGCACCAAGTGTTAATTGATACACATAACACTATTCTGCTTTCATTGAGAATCCTGAAGTGCGGAAAGTGGGAAACTAGTGGACATTTGGTTTAAAACTGTCATATATAGGAGCCAAAGTAAGTGTGACCTTGTTCCCAAAATAAGCAATTGCATGACTCTTTTTAAAAGATTACGGCAAACTGGGTTGAGAATGGGAATCTTTAACAATCTGCTCCTTATGTGGATTGGGCCCCACAGTTGCCATTTCCTTTCTTCTTAAAGCACCAGTTGCTAATTGCTCCCATTGTCCTGAGATTATGTTCCTTGGTTAGGCTAGATCAAGAAAGCTGTGTTTGCCATATTATGGTGGCTTTGCAGATTATATGGGTTTTTAAAACAATAACAAAAACAACGCCAACGATAAGCAAGTGAATAATGCTTCCTGTTCAGATGTTTCTGGGGCAATATGTGAAGTGGAAGTTGTGGATTTCTGATGTGAAGAGAAGGTATCACCCCATAAGCATCACTTACGTAAGCATAGAAATGTTTTAAATAAATAAAATAAATAAATACATGCAACATCTGCTTCTCTACAAGGAGTGACCCCAAGAGAGATATGATGTGTGATTGAGGCTGCTGTTCTACTCAGAGGGAAGAAATGATCTGGTTTTCAAGTAAATTTTGAATACTAAATGATTCAGGTCGTTCTAGGTAATTAAAATGAGTACCGACTAGATTATAAAACACAGTATAAACATGTAGCTTAAGGGTTAGGGTTAGGTGATTTTTATCTTAATAAAACTGAATTATTGGGGTGTTTGAAATGCTGCTGTTTCCTTCCTGATACCAGTGCCTGTTATTTCAGGGTGTTTCTGTGAACAGTGCAGGGAAGGGGCCAAGTACTCTGATGCGATCATCTCACCCAATCTAGAAATGACTAAAATTATGCGGGTCCCCCACGCCGTCTCAATGGCAGACTGCACAGCAGCCTGTTGTGATCTTTCTGACTGTGACTTGTCCTGGATGTTTGAGCGGCACTGCTACATTGTCAACTGTCAGCATAAAGGAAATTGCGAGCCCAAGAAAATGGAGAAGGTGAAGTCCTATTTGACCTTTGTGCTCAGGGCTCCCCAGAGACCGGTGGCCTTGCTGGGGTACAGGCAGATGCCATCCAACGTGATCCGCTCTATGACGCTGCAAGATGAACCATCGGAGGAAGCAAGCAACCTAAAGGAACTGTCTTTCCTCAGCAAGGAGCACAGTCTTGACGAAGTATCGGACTACCCGGATGAGTACGGGGACATGGAGCAGAACCCCTTTCAGCCGAGCATCAAGCAGAAGGAGAAGGAGGATGTTAACTATGCCGGCTGGGGCTTGATGGCTCCCAAGGAGAATGGCTTCAATTCCTCAGGGGCCAGTAATGGAGACAGACAGGAAGATCTGGCAGATAGCATGGATGAGAAAGTTACTCTGGAGAAGCCAGCCAATATGGATGGATCCGAGGGGTACCTTGTCACAGACCATCCTGAAGAGTTGCCAGTTATTACGTTGGGCCCAGTGGAGAAATCTGCAAATGAGTTAGATCTTCAACTCCCTAATGAAGCCAACAGTACTTGGTGGGAAGAGGTAGGTGTGTAACAAGTAATAGTACTGTTGTTGTTATGGGTCAGAGATGCCCAACTTCTTTCAGACTGAGGGCAAAATTTATGGGCATTTTTATTAACTGGCTTAAGCTGTCTCCCAGATCTTAAGAGCTGTCCCAATTTCCATACAAGCCTGTTTCTTCCCTCTAAACTCAGTAGCCTTGCACTTACTAGGAGACCTTAGAAATCACTCCCTTAGCCGACTAATAGGGAGTGCAGCAGGCTTTTAAAGTAGAGGGGACATAGCCAAATTTCTTTGCGTGGTATGCTCGTTATTATCATGGTCTGGAGTCCAGAGTTGCCTGAGAGCAACATCTGGATTTTTAAGGATGCTACTGGGCAGGTGCACTCATGCCCTGGACCATTTCAGGGCAGGCACACTGGCTGCTCCCATATCAAATGCAGTGGCAAGGTTTAGGGTCCTGCTGGTCTCTTTAAGCTGGCCCTGCCCTTTACCTTGGAGTACAACTAAAGCAGGGTTGCAGAAAGGGGCTGAACAAGCAGCATTGCTGGAATTTGGAGCAAGGGTATATATGACTGTCTGGTTTGCTGGTTTGCTTGCTTGCTTGAGTGTGTCTGTATCTCCTAGGGACTGCAGTCATCTTTCACAAATATGCCTACCTTTTTGCACGATCCATGTGGCCAGATTCTGGTGGGTGGGATCTCTTGTTCTTGCTGCTGTGCTTGTTGGTGGATGGAGGTTGGCAGGGTTCATGCACAAGTTTAATGGAGATTTGTGTCTAGTTCTTGTGCATATTTGCAGCCTATTAGTATATTCATGTTAGCTATTTGCAATGCTCAGCGTGCAATTCACTGGTAAATGTTTAAGTTGCCATATGACTCTTGGCTGGTCCCAGGCCCTCCATCCTCCCCATTTTGATGTCAGACTGAAAAGTAAAAGTCTGGGTATAAGGAAGGCAAGTTTTAAGGACACACAGTTTGGGACATTATATAGTTCTCACCTAAAAACAAGCAAAAGACTAATTGTTGTGGCTTCCATAACATTGAAATAATGGTGATTATTTTGGATTATGTGCTTATATTTGCATATTTAAATTTGCATGTGCAAATTTCTGAGATTTTGCTTTGTTTTGTTTTTTGCCCTGTGGGTCTGAGTCCTGCATCTTTTGGGTCCCTGGTACCAGCCTGGCAAAATTTCCTTCTGGAGTTCTTGGGGACTGTGCTCCAATGGTGGACGAGGCTGAAGGCAAAAGGGAAAACCATTCACTTCGTTCTTTTAGTTCATTCTTCATATTGTGTATCAGAATGTGAGGAAAAATATTCACAGTAACAATATATTCCTACAATTCATTTTGTAGGTTCTAACACCTTCCCATAATCCTCCTCCTTCAGACATCCTGGGATCTCTTTCCACTGTCTCAGCACAGACTCAAACATCTGACCTAGGTGAACCAATACAAGATGAAGTCCCATCTGCTCCCAGCCGTGCTGTCATCACTCAACCCCCCGCCAGAGATGAAGTGCGATTTCCCACTGCTCCTGCTAAATTAGGTAATGTGATTTCTTTATGGTATAGTTTTGAGAGTGAATTCATAATCCTGGGCTCCTAAGCTGTTGCTTAAAGCAAACCTGTAAATGACTACTTAGCTAGTCATATAGAGAGAGGAGTGATGTTTCCCAGTGACCCAAGAGGGGCCCTCTCGGTTATGGAACCTGGGTTATGGAACTCTCTCCAGGGAGGCCTGGTCCCAAAACTGATGTCTTTAAGTGCCAGCCACATAATTTCTTGATTTCCTCAGTTTCCGCTCCTGATGACTTTTAATATATTTTGATTACTTTTTAGAGCTTGCATCCTCCTATTTTTGTGTTTTGCGTCATTTCTTTACTTGTGAACTACTTTGTGATTTGTTATGAAGAACAGTATAAACAAGTAAATAAAACACAAATCTTTTAGTCCTGCCTTTTCATTCTGAAGGGATTATTTTATTGATTGTCCCTGTTCTGTTGTGTTTTGTAAGCTATTATCAAGTGCCCTCAGTTTAGTAAATGGAAAAACATTACACAAATGCTCAAATCCAATAAAATATACCTTTCCCTGCAGGAAGATAGACAGAGGTCTTGGTCTCAGCATGCTGCAGGAAGGTTGCTGAGTTGTACAGTAGACTGCACCATTTCGCATTGTGCCATTTGTTTAATGTGTGTTTAAAAATAAAGAACTTTCCGAAAGTGAAAATCTAGCACAGCAAGAAGGCAGACTTTAGTGTAGGCTGCTCCGTATGATCCTTGCACTTCACTTTCAGGAAAGGCTTTGTTATTTCTGTTGGAGTGTGAAAAAAGTGACTCCTGGCTTGCATATCGAAGTGGCAGCTTAGAAGTCTGCCAAGCTGTACGTTCTTCTTTATGCTGCATGTTTAGACCTGACCCGAGAAGCTTTAGCTCTTTTTGGGCCATAGCGGTGAGCATAAATGTGTGTGGACAAGGCAAGGCTTGTGAAAAATATTTGTCAAGTAGTAGTTTTTGTGGGGTTCTTTGCTAGAGTGGTGGATACTGAGGGGACACCGAAGCTGGGAGCTGCTCAGTCATGGAAGGTCTGGCTCAGAAGGAGAAGACCTGCCTGAGGTATGACTGCGCATCTGCCAGAGGAGAAGGCCTGTACCTTATACAACTCTGTGACTTGAAGAAAAATCATGTCATATATTAAAAAACATTAATTTTGCACTTCCAGCTTCAGGGGAGAAGGCTCATCAAAACTTGATGAGGAGGAGTCTTTAGCCATGATTACTGATAAAGAGTTTCAGCAGCGGAAGATTCTTGTCAGTCTTTACTCCATATGTTAGCAAATGCCGACCATCTAATTTAATGGATAAACGGTCCTTACTGTTTAAAATAACTGTTTTTTCTCTATTTATGTGCAGTAAAAGATCTTCTGGTGTCTGCTGGAGAAAATCTTCAAATAACTTTACCAAAGAATGAAGTCGAATTGCATGCATTTGTGGTTGCACCATCACTTTCAGGTAAGTTCTTAATATTAGTGTGTTGGAGACAAAAACAAAGCAAGTTTCTAGCCCTCGTTCAAGTGGATATGTTCTGCTTTAAGCACTGTTGGTAAGACCGCACCTTTGGGGAGAGCCCTGCTGCCTCTGGAAATAGGAAGCTAATGTGAGAGGCACAGACCAGGCTGCCTGGCCCCTCCGGCCTGCCCCCCACACCTCTCAAGCTTCCCTTCGTCCACTGCCAGAGGTGACTGCTCCCCTCTCCCTAAAGGTAGCACTGGCTTTGCACGTAGCAGCACGCACCTTGTGTGCAAGCTGAAGCCTCCTAGGAGTGCAATTTTGCTTGCAAACAAGGCCAGGTTTTCTCACAAAAAGCTGTTTCCATGTTTTAGCTAGTGCCGCCACCACCACAGCAGCTAGTTTGGCAGGAATTTCCGAAGCCGCCACCTTTTTGACAAGGGTGCGGTGCCCCTGCTCACGGGCTCAGGTGAGGGCAGTGGGCCCTCCCAATCCCTGGAAGGTGTCTTTCTCTGTCCAGCATGGCAGAGCCCCCGGAAAGCCAAATGAACATCAGAAAGGTGGCCGAGTCTCTCTTCCAAACAGCACCCACTAACTGATGGCTGTTCCTTTTCAGAAGCATCCTGCAGCTACGAGTGGAGCTTGATCGGTCACCCGGAGGATTATGATGGTGAAATGGAGGGCAAGCACACGGCAACCCTGAAAGTTTCTCAAGTGAGTAAGCCTTGACTTGACTTTTATTCAGCCAGCAGGATGGCCCCCACTAGAGGAACAAAGTCTCTTCCCCCCAGTTGCACACTTCCCTACCACTTCTGGAGGGTTGTGACTCTCTGGAGCAGATGGGGCTTTGTGGGCAGGTTGCAGGGGAAGGGACACTTCTGCTGGATGAGTGGAAGTTCACTTGGACTCAGCCCAAGCTGGGCTCCTAAAAACAGAGCTACTGGCACTTGGAACTGGTTCCAGCCCTGGCTTCCGTTATTGATTTAGTGTGCATCTGTGTCAAGTCAAAGGCAATCGAATGGGCTTCACAGGGCTGCTCCACACATTGCAACTTAAGAGCCACATTACAGCCAACAGACTTTGGCTACCTTTTGCTACTTGTCGCCCCATGTCTGCTTTTGAGTGCTGACCCATGAAGGGCAATCTCTGCAGGTGAATGGCTGCCCACAGCAAGCAGGAGTCCTCTCAGATGTCCGTGGTTAATGCAGAGACATCAAGTGATGGAGCTAGCTTTGCTGTTTGATGTCAGAAGCAGTGTCAGCCTGTGAGCACCCTCCATGTGTGAAGGGGGCTACCGTGACCTGTGTAACATGGGGTCCTCAGCCTTTTTTCATTGTTGGTTGGGCACATCTGGAGTTTTGAGCAAGTTTCATGCAAGCTTTCTGTACAGTGGCTGCCCTGTCCATTCATAAAATGGCTGCCAGGGTGGATAAGGCTGGTCACAGAATACTCAGTTCCCAAAAGGCAAACCAGTGAAATGAATGAATGAATGAATGAATGACAGACAGACAGACAGACAGACAGACAGGAAAAGCTGAAGTAGTAGGCACAGATGGGGTTTGAATTTTAAAACACAAAAACATTCATTGGATCCCAAATAAAGATGGCACTGGAGGGCAGCCCTTGACTTAGCAGCATGCCAACTACCAAGTTTTTTTAATAGTTAAACAAAAATAGCAAGGAATAAAATAAAAATCACAGCTAATCAGCTGGAGAAGCCTCTGCAGTCTCTAACCTGCAGCCCATGGGCACCAGCTTAGAGACTCCAAGTGTAATGCAGTCCTTTGATAACATACCCTCTGTTTGTTGTTCTGCAGGTTTAGTTACATTATCTCTGTTTAAACCAGTTTCAGAGCCGAACTATAACAAAGACAGTCCCCTGCAGATGAGACAGAATAGCTTTTTCTGCCATTACAAAAAATCAAATTTGCAGATCAGGCCTGTGAAGACATGATAATTGCTTTGGTGGGAGAGATGAAAGAGTCTCCCAGCAGAGCTGATGACCGTATCAAATGCACTTCTGCGCTTGCCAAGATGCCTGTATTTTCCCTCTAAGTATGTCTAATGTGGCCTAGGTATATCACACTTCCCTCTAAATAACTCTTAGGGCAGGCATAGCTGCAGTGCTCTGAATTCCTTCCCTTAAATTGCTTAAATTGTTCTGGGTGATGGCCAAGATGGTAGGCATGCTCATCCGTTCGACTTGGCACATTTCTTGGCAGTGCTGCCGCGGTGTCCTTGTGAAGTTCTACATGTAACTCAATTTGTTTTCCCTGACAATCCTCTGTTCCAGCTGCCAGCAGGTACCTATCTCTTCAAAGTGACTGTTTCAGCTGAGAATGCATTTGGAGAAGGGTTTGTAAATGTCACTGTCCAACCAGGTAAATCAGTTTTTTGGTGGTTCAGCTCACTACCTCTTCTTCCATCCTTGAAATTCTTTGTACTACGAGTAACAGTTAAACATTTTCCATCTATTTCCTTTGAATTGTATCTAAATTCTTTCCTTTCTTGTTTTGTTTTTAAGGGGAAGGGGGAGCGCAGGGGGCTAGATATTCAGGTGCTTTTGGCCTTGTAATTATCCACCTGCCTGATTTGGGAGGAGTTGCCATGGAGGAGCACCTGAATTGCAAACTCTGCTTGCTTCACACTGTTCTTTTCCTTTTTGCTTGCTACATATTCAGGCTCCACTCTTTGAGCCTAGATGGGAACTTGACTTGCCCATTCAGTTAGTTTATTACTGTGCTGGCTATTACTGACTTGTCGGGATGACCAACATGGAGTCATTTCACTGCACACCTTCCTCTTCCCCACTGTTTTGTACCCTTTTATTATAAAATGTGAAAAGTTCCAAGTCTATGTTGTAACATACTAGGCCTCATTATCCTATAACACTGGAAAGCAAATAAAATCGTGTTTTGGATTCAACATCTATTGATTGTAGCTTGCCAAGAAAAAGCATATTTTACTCTGTTATTAAAAGAAAATAAATTCCAGAGAATGTTGGGAAGATTTTCTTGAATTACATGTAAATATGATTCACCACAAAACCCATCCAGACTAGCAAAGGGACATGCATGGTGCAATTTTTTAATTTTTGTTTTATTTCCATGTAATGATTGATTGATCCAATTTTAACTTGGATATATGGAACCTTTACTGTCTAAATGCAATATGATATGAAGACGAAAGAGGGCAAGAAAAAGGGAGAATTCACTCTCTGTATTTGAAAATGAACAGAATCTGATAAGCTGTTAACAACAAAACAAATTTATATTAGGCATCCATATTAGGCATTCACATAGTCAGCAAGACAGGATATTGAAATACTGTTTGATGTGACTATCCTGAACATTTTAATTCATGGAGCTGGGCTGGATTTCCCTCTGTACCTCTGGTAGAATTATCTGTTTAGTTTGTAGCATAAGTGGCGTTGCTGTAGTAATCTACAAGGATCCATTTTTATCTTTGCTATCATCCACTATTTTAAAGCTTACTGCTTATATTAGGAATTTAATATAATATAATCTTGTTTAGAGGGTAGAGAATGATTTCTGGAGGTAGAAAAAGCACAAAGCTTGAGCTGCCTGTGATGGATTTATTTGATTAAAAATGGTGTTGTGTTTCCCATTCTTGCACAGCAATCCATGTAAATCAACCACCAGTTGCTATTGTGTCCCCCAAAGCACAGGAGATTTCTTTTCCTACCACATCTACTTCTATTGATGGAAATCGTAAGTATCAGGAAGTGACATTTCTATTGCCATGCATTTCAAATTGCTTGTATAGATGCTGTCTTACTAATTCATAATTCTCTTGACCATAGAAAGTAGAGATGATACCAAAATAGTGAGCTACCACTGGGAAGAAATTGAAGGACCCTTGAGAGAAATGAAAGCATCAGCTGATACACCTGTTTTGCACCTGTCTAACCTTGTTCCTGGCAACTACACTTTCAGGTGAGTGGGCTATATTCTTGTTTTCTGCATGTGCTTTAATGAGCCTGGGAAGGCTGACTTCTGTATTTTGAGGAACCATTCTGTGGACCTAATTCACATATAATGCTAACCCATGGTTTATTCAGTCCATGGCTGGTTGCCCTACCCAGGATTTGTCTGGTGATTGGTTGATTGAGTGATTAAACCCTGGTCTGTTTTCTCGATATTGGCATTGTTTGTTATGCTCCTCTTTTATCTGCAGCCTTCCTATGGCCCTAAATCCTTTGTGTCTCTGTAGTACTGGCATGTAGAGTGGCTGGTTTTGTTTTTGCTCTTGTTTTAATCATCTTTCCTCCTGTCTATGGAGCTTGGTGAAACAACCCATGATTTTGGATCCATGACAATCCATGGTTTAAACAATCAAGAGTCACAAGCTATAATTGTCATGGATAATTCATGGTTAACAAACCATGATGTATTAGTGTGGTTGGATTTGCACAACACAACTACTCAGAATTCAGCAACCCATTCCATAGGTTAGCATAATTGTAAACAGAAGTTGAATTCCATGCAAAAAAGGCCCTGGGATCCATAGAATATTGCCTGCTTGGACAATAGGACAGGGAGTTGATCTTTGTTGATTCCTTCTTCCCATTTCTCCAGTGTGTCCTCCAGTCCCAAGGAGAAAGCATTCCTTCAAAAGCTTTCAGGAGGCACACATGCATGTGCAAGGGGAAGAAAGAATTGTGAAGATTACCTTATCATCTTCAATGTCCCAGTGTGAGTGCTATTTTGGTTCCAGCCCATTGGTCTGTGGTGGAGGAGGGAAGTTTGAACATCACTAGTTGTTGTTAGACAACTCCCAGAATTCCTGACAGTTGGCCTGATTGTTTGGGGCTAATGGGAGTTTGAGTCCAACATCTTCTGGAGGATGACATATTACTCATCCTGGTCTATTGTTTGGATCTTTGATTTCACAGATCAAAGCACACAAACACAGGAACAGTATTAGGTGATCATTGCAAGTGGGGAGGTTAGGAATAAATTTGCTTCCTAAAGGATCCCTCTGGAGAAGTAGATGGATGCTGGCATTTTGCTTTTCTCAAATGTGTAACCAAGATCAACTCTATTTCATTACAAATGCAGTTTCTTTTCCTTCAAGTATGGCTGTGAGAAAACAGTTTACTGTTCATTTCAATACTTATTTATTAGGGTTGGAGGAGTCAGGTGAAATCGATTTGAGGCCCAGAAGTTGTCCAGTGAACCATTGGTGTGACAGCATCATCTTATGCATGCCTACTCAGAAGTCCAGTGAGGAATTTGGCGGGACTTACTCCCAGGAGACTGTACATGGGATTAAGGCCAAAAAAGTGTATGACAGAGATTAAGTTTGAACAAGCCAATAATCAGAAGAATTTTGAGCACAGGAGAAAGCATACCTTCAAAAGTATGAATTGCCCACATTCATTTCCTTTTCTTTAGGCTAATAGTCATTGACTCTGATGGAGCAACTAATTCTACTCTAGCTTCTTTGAGAGTCAACGAACAAGTGGATTATCCTCCTGTTGCCAATGCTGGACCAGATCAGGAAATTAGTATGCCTCGAAACTCCATCACACTGAATGGAAACCAGAGCAATGATGATCATGAGATCATCAGCTATGAGTGGTCCTTGAGCCCGAAAAGTAAAGGCAAGGTGGTCGCAATGCAGGTAACTGGAGAGCACCTGGCTTCATGTTAGACCATTTCTTCTGTATTTCATAACTTTTTGGGACAGGATTTCTGTGGTGTGTGCCGAACATGAACAGAAGCCTTGTGGTTATGTGGAACTAATATAGAGACCACGAATGATGAGCATTACTTTGAAATGGAGTTTTGGTATTTTTTTGTTCCTTTTTCTTTGACTAGTGCAACAGCATTTGAGTTTAATAGCATTTGACTGTCATGCAAACAAACCCCTGCAAGGGTTGAGTATGCTGATGGCAATGTTTTCTTACATTTTCTCAGAAGTGGTCAGAATTTTGCAGAATGTTTGCAAGTGTATTGCTGTGCTTGAGAAGTAGTGGTAGAATTGTGCAAAAAGCTGAGAACAAAACCATCATGCTGTGTTTGAAGTCGCTAGTATCAGTTGTTCAGATGCAGCCTCCTTGCTGAAGCAAGGTAGGCCTGGGTCTGCTCAGACAGATGGAAGTTTTATATTCTCCTTGCTTGAGTTGATTTTGCAAACAGCTTTCTGTTTTTGTGGTCAGTTCCCAGAGGCCTGTATCACCTGGCATGCTCTGTGTTCTTTCCTGGCCACAGTGATCCAAGTTGTCTCAACAGCAGAAGACATTATGGCTGGTCAAAACTTCTATTAGAAAAGTTCTTGGTTAGCTCCATTGGAGGATGAAGCCGCAAATGACACTTTGGCATAAATGAGCATTCTGAAATTCAGTTGGAATAGCTTCTATGAAATTGGTCTCGTGTTTTAGGTTTGATTTTGATTTCTTCAAAATAATACTCTGCTAAATGATCTTAGGCTGTGCTACTTTCTTCTTAGGATGTCTTAGGATAAATGTGTTTTTACATGGAAGAACACTTTGTACCTCCTGACTTTTCCTCCTCTACCCTGTCATATATTGATAGGGAGTGAGGAGTCCATATCTCCAGTTGTCTTCAATGCAAGAAGGAGACTACACCTTTCAGCTGACGGTTACTGATTCTGCTGAGCAACAGTCCACAGCCGAAGTCACAGTGGTAGTCCTGCCCGGTAGGCAGATTTATAGCCTGCACAGAATGTTCTTCAATTGGCTGTTAGTTAAGCATCTTTGTATGTGAGCTAACAAATCTAATTGGTCCTTCATGTGAAGTAGAGAAAGAGGAGGAGGGGGAGGCAGCCAGGCAGTCCTGGAACCTCCATCGCTGGGGCCTGGGTTGAATCAGAGGCTGGGCTGTGAGAGCTGAATGTCAGAATTATGGAGGAAACTGACTCCGCCTTCATGGTGTCTGCTTCTGAAAGAATCCCTTTTGCTGTTCCACTCCCAATTTTAGAAGCCCTCATTGCTGTTCATATGCAGAAAATTCACCACCCATCTGTGTTTGTTCAGTCTTTTAAAGTTCTCTTTTTCTTTCTGTTGTATTCCTTACCTCTTTTCCTGGTCTCCTCTCCTGAGTCTGGTTCTTATATGATTTGAACTGATGGTGAAGCACGTTGATTAAGAAACTGGTTAAGATACAGATATCACAGTGATTTTTTTAAAAAGAATACTGCTCCATGAGGATGAAGTTTCCTGCCTATTTGGTTAAAAGTGTCTGCTGTCCTTCAGTACCTTTGTTCCATGGGGGCTAATGATGCTACAGATAGATAAGATCAATGCAGCCCTAAAACAGCAAATAGTAGCAGTGGAACAGTGAAATCAAAGGCTTACAGTTGCAGCACAAAACCAATTCAACCAGAACTTGAAAGTTGTGAAAATAAAAACAACTCCCCCTGCACAAAACGGCAGAAGAGCAGGTAGCAGCCAAACCTGCTTGGGGAGGGAGCACTCCAAAGAGGGCAGAACCTCAAAACGGTCCTTTTCCCAATTGGCTGCCTTGCCTCAAAGCACCTGGAGAGGGAAAGGTGACCTACATGCGTCTTCATACCTCCCCTCTTCCCCATCCACAGTGTCTCCTACGTGTTCTGGCTGCCTTGATTCCCTGGGCTGCTCTTTCCAGGATAGAGCCTTATTCTTACTTTCCTAAGCCATCTGAAGAAAGCTACCAATTGTTTCTTTTCGTCTGGGGAGAAAGGACTGCTAGAGCCACCTCTGTCTTTGCTATGAAATCGCCTTGCGTATCCTAGCCCTGTTCAAAGTTCCTGGAGCCCTCCCCACAACCGTCTGCTTTGGAGTCTGCAGGTGGGGAGGTGATTGCTTGTCTAGAGCAGTGGGGAAGACACTGGAACCATGAATTGCATTTATTATTATGAATTGCATGCACATCTCACTTCTGCCCTCTTGTAAGGAACCAGAGGCACCTCCTGTGGTGGGCCTCCACTCCGTTTTATCCTCACAACAACCCTTTGAAATCCGTTCGGCTGAGAGCTGGTGACTGGCCCAAATTCTCCCAGCAAACTGAGTGGAGGCCAGCGTGCCAGACAGGGCCACAGGCCTCTTGTGCCAGGGTCCAGGCTGCACCATGCCAGCTCTTGACCTTTGGCAGTTTCTTCTCCTGGTTGTAGAGCAGCGTGGTTGCCATTGTGCTGCAAACAGTGCTGTGCTAGCCTTGAAGTCAGACTAGCTGTGGCAGTGAGGGGTCCAAGTGGACAACTGTCTCCCCTTTCGGTCCTATTACTGGGCTCTTGCGGCCAGAACAGGCCAGGGTGACAGCATCTATCTGCTGCCTGAAAGACCAGTGCAAAGGTTCGTGTGAGCTTCTCTCTGCTGCTGGGAGAGGCTGGCCTGGGAACCTGTGCATTGCTCTTTGCAGTGTGTGAGCAAAGGCTCTTTGTCCAGCCTTCTTATGGTCAGGACAAGCTGCGGGAAGCAAATGCTTTCATCTAATTGCTTTCCACAGTTGGTTTTTTTAAAAAATGGGTTTGTATCTATTTTGTTATGCTTGTACTTGAGTATTTTAATAGTGTTTCTGCTATTTTATCCTGCCAGTCACTTAGAGAGTTTCTTACATTGAGTGGTAAAGAAGCATTATAAATCAGTAAATGACGGACAAATCCTTTGCAGCTGCTGGTTGCATGACTGTTGTTCACGAGCCAGTAGCGATTTAAAGCAAGGAGGTGGGGACAATCCTGGCTAGTGATTGCCTAAAAAACACAATCTGCATTTAGCATAGTTTTGTTGTTAATGCTCTTTTTGCAGAAGAGAATAGCCCTCCGCGAGCCGTGGTCGGTCCAGACAAAGTGCTGACATATCCTGTCAGGAGCACTGTTCTTGATGGAAGCAGGAGCACTGATGACTTAGGCGTCGCTTCCTATCACTGGGAAAATGCCAGGTATTTTGTAGAGACCTTGAATGTAAGAAGCAGGCTGAGCCAGACCCAGGGTCCGTCTAGTCCCAAACTGCTGCTCACACAGCGGCCACCCAGCTGCCCACAGGAAGCCCGCAAGCAGGACATGAGTGCAACCGCACCCTCCTGCCCACCTCCCCTGAGGCCGATGCTCACCATCGTGGCTGCAAGAAGCTGACATACTTAGCACTATTTTGCGGGTGTCTGACATCCCGGTTGGGCTCGCTGTTCCATTATTCCCTGGACATGGCACAGTAGCACACAGAGGATGAAGATGCTCTTACTACACTTCCTTGTCAAAAGCACAGGATGCTGGGATTAATGAAATAAGCTTGAAAAGTTGGGGCATGTGGGTTCTGGGGCAGAAGCAGTCTAACCAGAGCCAACCAGCGGCATGAGATTCGAACAAGGAATCTTTCAGCTTGATTATATTTTCTGTATTAGCAAGGCGAAGTCTAAGGGTGCTTCCTGATGAGAATTTCATTGTGTGTAATGGCTCTGCCTCATTCACATGCTCTATGGGCGGCTTACAGAATCATTTGCCTTCATCTGTGTGCTCTGAGGATATGTGCACGGACAGGAGGTAATGGGACAGCCATCTAGCCAGGCTTGCAGACTATTTTAGGTCACTCCTATGCATGTCAGTGGCTTCTAGTCATGATAGCAAAATGGAACCTCCCACATCAAAGGCAGTTCACCATGCTGGGGAACATGAATGGGCGGGTGCGATTGCATTCAAGGCCAAGTTATAGGCTTCCCAGGTGCAGCTGGTGGGCCACCATGTGGCTGGAATGCTGGCCTAGAAAGACCCTTGCTTCGATCCCTCATGGTGCTTCTTCATGTTCTCTGGGTCTCACTTCCTCGTAAATGTTACTGTCTGTTTTGCTCTGCTGCAGTGGCCCCAGCTCGTTGCAAATGGAGAACGCGGACAGCGCAGTAGCAACCGTCACAGGTTTGCAGATTGGAACCTATCGTTTCAGACTGACCGTCAAGGATGATCAAGGACTTAGTAGCACCGCTACAATTTCCGTGACTGTTAAGGAGGGTAGGTATCTTTGAAGGCTCTATTCGGACCAACAAGTGATTCATAACCTCTTCCTTAGAGTCTCTTCTATGTTTTAACCCATGGATCTTCAAACCACGGCCCACGGGCCAGATCTGGCCCGCCATGCTCATCTATCCAGCCTGCTTCAGGCGTACTCAGTGGGGACAAGGCTGCGATCGTGATCGCGCTCATGCAGGGAAGATGGGCATGATTGTGATCATGGGGGGAGATGGCTGCGATCATGGTTGTGGGGGGGGGAGATGGCTGCAATCGTGCCCGCCTTCCCTGCATGAGCGTGCCGGCAATCACACCCGTCTTCCCCCCGTCAACATAATCACAGACATTGTAGCTATGTCCCTTGAATATGGACATGCTCTTCCCACCTCATCTTGGGCTTCTGCTGCAGCCCGAGTGAACGGAGCATTTTTAATTATTTTTTAAAATTTGAATTAATTTGAATTATTTTTAAATTAATTTTAATTAATTCTTAATGTGCAGTGTGCATAGGAATTTGTTCATATTTTTTTCAAACTATAGTCCAGCCCCCCAACAGTCTGAGGGATAGTGAAGTGGCCCCCTGTTTAAAAAGTTTGAGGACCCCTGTTTTAACCACTCATTGCTTCCCCCTGCTTTCATTTTCCATGCCTGTCTCACTTGCCAGGATCTTGTTCTAAACCATTCGGTTGTTTTTGTGTCTTGATTTTTTTCTTCGATTTGTTCTTCCACACGTTTTTGAGGTCTTTAGTGGAGGGTGGCTATGGTGGGTCTGATCATCAGCACAGCCATTTATTTATTTATAACATTTATATGCTGCTGCACATCTGAGCAGGTTGAAGAGCAGTGAAGAACAGATAAAAATATTTATTTAAGTAAGTTTATTTATGTTCACACCTCCCCTCTCCCTTGTTATGAGTGACTACTGACTCCTTTTGCCAGGGTTATTTAAATCTATTACTTTAGCACATTTATATCCCAGCTTTCATGGCAGCATCTCAGTCAGTCTCCCACGCAAGCGCTGCAAAACACAGATCTGCCTAGCTTCATCAGAGTGACTGTGTCACGTGCTCTAAAACCATCAGGGTAGGCAAGCTGGATCCTTGCCGAGGGCTCCCACCTCAGCAGGGTCCCCCTCCAGAGTTGCTCCTCCTCTTTCCCAGTTTGGCCTGCCTGCCTGCCTCCCTCACACTCTGGCCCAGACAATATGGGTGGTCAAAAAGAGGAGCAGAGGATGCCGTGGTTGCTGGCTTTCTGCCTGGGTTGCAAGCAAGTGGCAGCAGTGATGCGAAAAAGGAGGAATGGTTTTGTGTGTCCTGCTATGTGCATTAAGTGTTGGTTTGTAAGTGAGGTTTTTGTCGGGTGGGGTGGAGCTCATTAACTCGCTCATCTTCTCTTGTTCCTTGGGGATTTCTCCAACAGAGAGGAAGAATGTGGCGTAATAATCAAATCAGCCTCTATCGAATGGCTCTTGTGAATAGTTTTGGTGATAATTAGCTGATGATTCCCCCCCCCAACCCCCGTGTTTCATCTGTATTCTGTTAGCTTGGTTGTGAGTAAAGGAATATGGCCTTTTTGTGTCAGCAATTGATGTCTTAGGGCACTGGGTAGGTGCGCTGGCTTCAGTTTTGCATGGTCTGCCTTTAAAAAAATCCTAGGATTCTATGGTCTATTGATTTCCTATATACTAACAGTTTACATCATTTCTATGTACAACTGATCAAGCAGTTACTTATTTTTTATTTTGATTCCTCCCCTTCCAAACACATCCTGAGAATTTTGATCATTCGAGCCAGGCCTTTGGGCTACCATATCCATTTTTGACCTGTCCTTGAAACAAAACCCTCCCTCCTTTATGTTCCTGCTCCGTAGAAAGCAACCGTCCACCCAAGGCTCATGCAGGAGGCAAACACCTTCTTGTTCTGCCCAATAACTCGATTGCTTTGGATGGTTCACGCTCTACCGATGACCAAGGAATTGTATCTTACCTTTGGATTCGGGATGGGCAGAGCCCAGCAGCTGGAGTAAGTATGTTAATCATGTCACTGGCCTGTTTTGAATCTTTTAATATTCCTGTCTGTGTGCCCTGTATTTTGCACTGTTGCAGGATAATTGAAGCCAATATGGCGCATGGTTGCAGTGGTCTTCAAGGCTGCACCACGGCCACCAAAATGTCCTGAGACACATTTTATGATGTCTACCAGTCTCCCTGCTCTTCCTGGGTTTTATTTTGGTTTTGAAGAATTATCATTCTCAAAATAACTGGGAGATGGATATGCTACAAAGCCTTTGTTTCCAAAACTGGCCCTATGCTATGTCTACCAAACTCAGCAGTTTGCCTTCTGCAAAATAACTGCCACAAAAGAACAATGCCATTTGTGAATGGACAAGCCTCCCCATGGCAGCTATTCTGTGACAGCCCCCATATGACTCTCCCAGCATTCCAAATTGAGCTGCTGACCCAAAGGTCTTTGGGACTCCTTGTCCTTTGGATAACTTGACAATTTGAGACTTAGTTCTGGTATAACTGAAACCAAAACCAGCAGTTTGCAGTCAACACATATCACCCGGTTTAGGGGTGTTCAGACTCTTAGCCTGAGGGGTGCATTCCATTGGGGAAAAGCTCTTGCAGGCTATATTCCTGCAATAGTCATAGCAAAATGCATCATCATTCAAAAACAAAAATTCTGAAATATCCAAAGATTATAGTTTAAAGCTAAGACTTCAGGGAGGCATTTCTACATTTTAGAATCAGGAAAAATCCTCTGCAGAAGCTGGGAAGCTGCCAAATAATTTGTGTTTGGGGGAAAGGGGTTATGACCTTCTGAGGAACCCCAGAGGGCTGGATTTGCCCCCCCCCCCACCTGTTCTACTCTCCTGGCTTCCAGCCCTCTGCAAAGGTATTCTTCTAACTCAGATTTTTGATGAGCAGTTATAAAAACACTGGCCTGGGGTAAAAATGAATCTAAAGTGGTATATTCACTGCTGACACTCTGACTTTTGCAGGATGTGCTTCAAGGCTCCGACCATGAGGCAGTACTGCAGCTAACAAATCTTGTAGAAGGGAGCTATACTTTTCACTTGAAAGTCACCAATGGCAAAGGCGATTCAGACATCGACACCGCTTTTGTGGAAGTGCGGCCTGGTATGATGTTGAAGAGGATATTTATAGCATATGCTAGGCTTTTGTTCCTCCCAGACCCTTCCCTCTCTTCTACGAGGCTAGGTCTCCGATTCGTATGTGAACGCCTGGCTCAGTAGGTCAGTAGCAGGTTTCCCATTGGTGCTAAAGCCTTTGAGGTTTCTTTCTATCACCCTGAATCTCTATTGCAATTCAAGGTAGGTCGCTAAAGCAGGTGCAGAGAACCGTGCAGTCAGATGCTGTGATTCAGTTTCTGGATTCTCTAGTAACTGGAAGAGTGATGAGACTTTCTGAAAGAGGTGCCTCAATAGGCAGTCTATGCATTGTGGGACTCTTGAAGCTTCTCCTCTCTCCCCAGTTGCTTCAGCTAGAATGTTATTTCCATTTCTCATTGCCACCATTAGTATGGTTTTGATGCTTCCTGGGTGGCTGCGGTCTCCTTAATCCTTACCACCCTGTTTTCTTAATGACAGAATCTCTGCATTGGTTCCAAAGACCCCACTTGACCCGGTAGTCACTACGAGTAGATGTATGGAAGAACCGTCACAGTGTTGCAGTGGGAGCGATGGGGCTAGTCCAGCAGGAGGGAGCCTGGCACTCTCCAAATAGGTTAGCCTGCAATGCCCATTAGCTGACAATTGGTCATGCCATCTGGGGCTGATTGGAGCCGTAGTCCAAAACATCTAGAGGGCTTCAGGGCCCCTACCTCTGAGTAGGCTGTTATATAAATCTAGCTGGCTACTGAACATTATTTCAGCATGTATAATGTGGTAGAAATTGGACCCATTTCTTTGTGTTAGCCTGTGAATACAAGCATTATTTCTTCCAAAGCTTTTGTGCCATCTGTTGAATTTCATTCTGCCCAAGTGATAAAAAAGAGCCCGTTCTTTTCTGAGCTGTGCTTTGTCCTGTGATTTGGCCGGCTGAATGCTTCCACTAGTTATTTAGCTGTTTATAACCAGGGTTCCTTCATCTCAGTCCTTTGGCCGGATTAAGTTAACATGGGTGTGCCAAAAGGTGCGACGATGATGATGATGATGATGATGATGATGATTTATTTATTTTTATTTATTAAAACATTTTTATGCCGCCCCATTCGCCGAAGCCTTGGGGCGGCTTACAACAATAACCTCGGGGCGGCTTACAACAATAATGATAGCAGCAATCTTGTTTTTATGCCCTGCATTTTTTCTGCTTGTAAGGAACCCAAGGCAACCCAAGGTTCTCTTTTTTTCCATTTTATGCTCACAATATGAGGTCGGCTAGGCTAGTCTATGACTGGCCCGAAGTCACCCAGTGAGTTTCATGGCTGAGTGTGTACGAGAACACAGATCTCCTGAGTCCCAATCCAGGACTCTAACCTCTCCACCACACTCAAATGACAATTTAAAGTAATGCCAGTGTCATGGACTTAACTTGGGAGAGGTGCATGTTTCTTCCCATTTTGCCTGCTCAGTTGCTCTTTTAGAAAATTGCCTCAGACTTCCAGGAACAAAAGAATGGAATATCCTGTTCTGCTGTATTTTCTTGTATTCCTGTAAGATATGATACTGATCGTCTCTCATCAAAGTACCCCTGCCAAGTGAGGAAGGGCCTTTTAAGTTGTGGCACCATGATAGTGGAATGTTCTTCCTAGAAAGGCTTGCCTTTTGGGTCTTTGGGTGCCAGGTGGAGACCTTTTAATTATCCTACACATTTTAAGGGCCTTTTAAGGCTGTTCTTTTTAAGGGCTTTTCAAGATGACCCATGTTTAATGCTCCGGTGTAGTTATTTTATTGTTGCTAGTTTATTTTAGTTAGATAGTTCACAATGTGTTGGCTTTTATAATTTGTTTGTTTCGGTTTTGATATGGTTATTTTAAATTTTGTCAAGTGCCAAGAGGTCTGTGTTAAGTGCATGATCTAGAGGCTTTGAAATAAATAAAGCATATGTAAGCAGATCACTATGGAAAATGGAATACTGATTCCTTCCATTATCCTATTTTTCTCATGCTTCCTCTTCTCCTTGGCTTCTTTCCTTCTTTGTCTCAACTTCCCAGTTCTGCAACTGCTTCGCTCCACTAATCATTTTGCCTATCTTTGTAAACAGATCCATGTGCATTTACTTAGGGTGGGGTGGACAGATTCTGGAAAGGAACATTTTAGAAGGGCATTTGAGATAAGTAGTTTCATATACAATATATGACCTACTTACTTATTTTTAGGGTATCTGATCTTCTATTTTATCTTATTTTTAGTACTTTAGATATCCATGTGCTATCCCTAAGTGGTTCACACATATTAAAAACAGTGGTAATTCCCCACCACCACACAAAAGCGCTGTAACACTCAATGGGCAAAGAATATTGAGCAACTGGGTGGAAGAGACTGGCACTTTGCAAATATCAGCGTGGAACTTGTATTGCCAATTGGGGAATTCCGAGGGAATGCTAATTCAGTCAGAGGACATTCATCATGCTCTGAAAGATGTGCATTATTTGTGCCTTCACAGACCCTATGAAAAGTGGCCTGGTGGAACTGATCTTGCAAGTGGGTGTTGGCCAGCTGACTGAACAACAGAAAGAAACTCTCGTGCGACAGCTGGCGGTGCTCCTGAATGTCTTAGATTCAGACATTAAAGTGCAGAAGATCCAGGCTTATTCTGATACCAGGTAAAGAGAGATGCCAAAACCAATACAAAACAGAAATCTTCATTCTAGTGACAATTCCTGTAGGTAGAGAGAGTTCAGACAACACAACAACCCCCTTGTATAGCCCATGCCCATGTGGGGTTTGCACAACATGACAACCACATTTAGAAGGGCAGCTGCCCATGCCCTCTGTGGGATGGCGCATCATGTGAACAGCCGCTGTGTGTGACAAAATGAACAGTGCAATCCTGTAACTCAGCAGTGGGGAAGCTGCAACATGCAGGCCGAACCTGGCCTGCCAAGCTGGCCTATCCAGCCATCGAGTCTAGCTGCTTTGGCTTCTATAGCTCCTATAATCCTTCACTATTAGCTATGCTGGTTAGTATTGAAGGAACTCTTGAAGGGATCTATAGGCCAAATCTTAGAGGGCATAAATTGCCACCTGGTTGCAAAAGAATACTACTTTCTGAATGAAATCTGGAACTCTTGCTTTTGCAATGTTTAGTTTGTTTCTTGAACTTCACGAGGCTGGAACTCAACAGCTTTCTTGACAGTCAAACATGTATTGAAAAGAGGGGCCATTACAAGGGGGAGAACACTTGATACGATGTAGGCAATGCAAAGGTCAAATGAGAAATGTTGATTGCAATTGACAGGCTAACGCATTTGGAATCTTATAATACAGTTCTTTCATATATGCGTCCTTTCTTCAGCACAGCTGTTGTGTTCTATGTTCAGAACGGCCACCCTTTCAAAGAGATAAAGGCTTCAGATGTTGTGCAGAAGCTACATTTAGAGCTCTTGAAGGAAAAGCCAGACTTCTTGCTTTTTAAAGTGCTTCGTATTGATACAGCCGGTACGTATTTGCGCTACAGAGCAGATCACCATTATCTGAACGCCAACGCCCTGTGCAATGTGAACAGTGTCAGTTCTTTTCTTGTTATAGCTTGTCTCTTAAAATGCTCTGGACATGGAAATTGTGATCCCATCACCAAGCGATGCATCTGCTCTCAACTATGGATGGAAAATTTGATACAGCGGTACCTAAACAATGGGGAAAGTAATTGCGGTGAGCTGAGAGGAACTGGAATGGACGTGGAATACAGTAATTTGTAAAGTCACTGTTTTGAATGCACAAGTTAATAGCCCCTCTAATCATTCTGTGTCTATCTTGTAGAATGGAGTGTGCTTTATGTAACCGCATCTGCCTTAATTGTGATCATGCTGCTGGTGGCATTAGCCTGGCTCTGTATCTGCTGTTGCAAAAGGTAATTAGTAATTATTCAGTTTAAATGAAATGCAGTATAGCCCTTGGTTCTACACTCAGTCGCAAAGCTAGATGAATTTGTGTGGGTGTAATACCAACCAAACTAGGCCAACCAATAGACTGCCAAAATGTGCAAGGTTTCAAGAATTCCAGGTCTCTTTGTCAGGCAAGTTGTTACAAAAAGCAAATTTGTTGGTGGGGGGGGCAGCAGAAGGGGGAAGGGGGAGGGAAACTCCCAACTTGATGGTAGAACTACAGTGTCCGTCTGTTGAGATCCAAGATGGAGTAGGGGAAGACTGTACCGCGTACTGGATGGTTAGAATCCCTATGTTGCGTGCAAAGTTATTTTGATTATTTTGAAAATCCGCCCTTTATCTGCTCTTTGAACTTGCCAAGAGGCATCAAATGAGGTCTGATTCATATGTATAGCGATTTATTTGTGCTATTCATAAGACAGGGAGGAGGGCAGAGCTTCATGTGTGGCTGTCCACACAGTCAGAGCAGAAGCTGAACTGCACTGATGTAAGCACCTTCATTTTGGCACTTGCAAGCTGGCTTCTTATATGGAACTCCACCCGCAGGGTTACATTATGAGCAGTAAGCACCACTAGCAAAGCTGCATTTTTAAAGCTCACGGGAAGCTGCACGTGAAGTAAAAGTTGCTGTTTGGATTGTTCCTAAGGAAACAACATTTGTGGATTGTCTGTCATACTTGGATTACCAGCTATTTTGTTCACTTTTTTAGCAGAAAGAGGACCAAAATAAGAAAGAAAACAAAATACACAATTTTGGATAATATAGATGATCAAGAGAGAATGGAACTCAGGCCCAAATATGGTATGGCTTGTCTGTCTGTCTGTCTTCTGTCTGTCTGGTCTTCCATCTGTGCTATTTTTAGTATGGGACTTTTAAATTAATGTGACTTTTGTTTTCAAGAGATACCTAATTTTTCTTTGCTCCTATCTGCTGATTCTACAGTTGAGCAAATAATGGCATCTGATGGAGTAGGCTATCTACAAAAGCTCCTGCCAGGGTAAATCAATGGTCTCTGTGATGCCATTGTATTTTTCCTGAGGCAACCAGCCATTAAATTAGTTTGTCTTGTGGTTTCTACACTAAAGCATATATTGTTTTGGTTTCCTTTTGATTCTGCCTTCAACTGAAATTGCCCTGTTTCAGCCACAGTCCAAGCTAGATCTGTTCCCAAAGGGCCTTTGGACATTCACGGATGAGTAGAGAAACTGGGAAGCCAGGCTGCCCACTGAAGGATGATGCCATTTTATTGAAATTGTCCTGGACGAGAAGAAATTCTCTACCAGACTCATGGGAGAGAAGGCAGGAGGGAGTACTTGTCTCAGGAATAGGAGGGGTTGCCATTTTGTTTTATCCTCAGGTAGCAAAATGTCTTGGGCCAACCCTGTAACCCGGCCACCATTTTGCATCTTTCACAATGCTCCATACTTAGCATAGCCCCAAGGCATTAAAAGTGTGGGGGGTGGGAATGGCTGCTGCCACTCACAAACCGTGGAGAATTATTTGGAGCAAATTCTACAAACTTATAGGGGCAGCGTGAAAAAAATGAACAATCTCAATTGTTCTCAGAACATCTTTGAGAAATTTCACCCAGCTTTGTCAGACCAATAGCGTACAATCAGCATGCTCATCAGAGGCGAGTGGCAGCCGCTGTTCACAGCTATGCAGCTTCTCATCCCTGGCAGTGGATTTATTCCATGAAACATGTGCTGTTGTCATCCTTCTTCTCCCATTCCTTTAACAAACCACAACAGGAGTCAGACAGTTGCACGATTTAGGAATGCATGATGAAGTCACACTTCTCTGATGAGCCACTGACTGGGAAAGATGTTGAGAGACTTAAGGTGCTTCCAGACAAGGTTTTTATTGTGCAACTGCACTGCTTCATTAACTGAATGCCAGGGCTTTTCAGCCCATACTTTTCAACAGTCATACTCTGTTATTCAGCATTTGCTTATGTGTTTTTTATGATGTTATGATCTTCCAGTTTTGCCTGTGTTTTTAAAAGCACTTTCCTGGTATGTTTTAGAATGGAGAAAAGAGAATCTTATTTCTGAATGTGAAAAAATGTATTTTCAAGACTTGTGCAGTGACAATAATTTGCTATAATGCAGCACCACTTAGAAGTTAACTAGGAGGAAAGGAGAGAAGGCAAGGCTCTCTGTATAGAATGCAGGTATCAATTTTCTGACAAAAGAATCAAGCAAGTTAAGCAATAGCCTTGGGTAGAGAGGTTGTACAGAGGTTCCACAAGACATTATCTTCCATTTGCAGCCCTAGGAAGCTTTCTCACTTTTCCCCTTTTTTTATCTTACGAGAAACAGGCTGTTAAGGAAGAGAATACAGGGGAGCTGGACAGCGCCTTTAAGATTGCTAGTGAGAGGAGACCTCTGCCTAGGAGTAACTTTAGTCAAAACATCTTTAGGAACATTGCAAGGGAAGTACTCCTCTTTAAAGAGCACTTTCGATCTGGGTGACTATTTATGTGGCCTGAGACATGCCATGACTTCCTGGACTTGTTAATGAGACCATGTTGCTGCATCAAATCGTAAAAATAGGCATGCCAAGCAAGCTTTGTTTTCCCCTTCTTGTATCTCAGGTATAAAGCATAGAAGTACAGAGCACAATTCCAGCTTGATGGTTTCAGAGTCCGAATTTGACAGTGACCAGGACACCATCTTCAGCAGAGAGAAGATGGAAAGGGCAAACCCAAGGAACATCCAGAATGGTTTGGTTAAAAATGGCGTCTCCTTCAGCTACAGCTCAAATGGCAGATAAACAAACTACACTGAAAAGACTTGATCTGCTACACTAAGAAATGCAGGATCTCTCTCCATTATTTTCCTAGAACTATACTGGGGCAGATGGAATTTTCACCATAACAGAAGGGGAAATGGACCTGGCAGATTTTCCTCCTTTTGTTCTTTGGCAAATAGATAGCACCTTTTAAACGCATCACATGGGATGAGTGGAAAATACATAGGTGAAGATGCTATTTATGTAACATCTCATGGGCATCTAAAGGTTACTACTCAAGTTGAGCCAAGACGGTTACATTATGAAGATTGCATCCAAAACCTTCCCTACATTTGTGTTTGCCACAGAAAGTGGCTATGCATCTATGTGGATTCCCTATGTCAGTCTGCAAATTTACCTTCATTATTAAAAGCAGTGTGTAGCTACAGCCTCTATCTTCGTTCATCACTTTTAACTGACCCTACAGGACCCAAATTGGAAGCCTCTGTATGACTACAGCTCCCAGTATGCCTGACCATTGGTCAGCCTAGCTGGGGCACATGGGAGTTGAAAGCCCCAGCATGATCTGGAGGGCACCACAGGTTTCCACCCTACAGGGATGCGGGGTGTGATAATTCGGTGTTTGTAATGCTGTACTTTAGTGCATTCTGGGATAAGGTAGTGTAGCAGTAGCCATTTTATAAATGGTACCTGTGTGACCTAGTGGCATATTTTGAAGCGAGGCCAGTCTAGGTCTAGCTCATGCTTGCACAGGAGAATGCCTAGGAAGTCTGTGCCTCGGGGAAAAAGGCATTCTCTAAATAAAAATTATACAGACCATACAGTGCAATTCAAAGTGGTCTTGGAGTAAGGGCGGAGAAAGCAGTACATTTCCCACTCCATCCAGAGCTCAACAAGTTCTTTTTTCCTTTCCCTGCCACCTGGCATTGCAGGTACTGTTGATTTTTTAAATTATTATTAGTTTCACCTCCATTGGTTACAATCTGTGGGTGGAAATGTTGATTTCCCTGGTAAAAAAACTGCAGGTTTTTACATCCTGCTGGTTTGCATGGGCCAGGCTGGAGAATTTGGTCTTTTTTATCCCTCTGCTGAGGATTGGCGTCTTCTAATTCCTCTCCCTTAAAACTGAAAGGAGGGGAAGGAAATTAACTGTATTAGCTCCTCATATTACAGGCTGGAAGTTCAGGGAAGCTTGGGGCAATGGGAAGCCTTCACATCTTGCTGAACAAAGGACTCCTTTGTTCCCACAACACTCAGCTTTTCAATCCTTATCACCACTGGACCAAACTTCTGCTGCTCGAGTGAGGTACCCCAGCCCCTCAAACCAGAGCAACAGGAGGTCTACATCATAGGACAGCACCCATAATGTAACTGGAAAATGCTTGCACTCTACAACAGCAGAATTGTAAATACACCCTATTTGTTCAATACACTCTGCACCATGCACCAACCGATTGTTAACCTTTCGGTCTGATCCCTATGTTTTTAAAGTAAAGGGTATATTTAGAAAGATCTCTGGGACATAGATGTAACTGGTCTTCAGGGGAAAACCCCACAAAATTAACATCAAAGACAGGAATCTTTGGAAATGCATTTTATTTATTTTGGGGCTTTGAACAGTGCATGCAGACCACACGCAAGTCAATGCAGAGTGAGGCTTCTCATGCAGTGGAACACTGGATTCGATCTGGAGGGTCAAAGGAGATTAGGCTGGCCTCAGTGTGAACTAGAGTGTGGAACAGTCACATAAGTTGCAAGAGCCACTTTCAACCTGCAATAGGACGCCAACAAACTGCATTTGCTTAGGAATTTTCATTAGCAGAACTTTGCAACATTTCACATTACGCATGAACCAAGTTAATGTGAACAGGACCTCTTTCTTGCCTGCTATTTCTGGGGGTTTCTTTGAGCGGACACCTGGGGCCAAATCCAAGCATCGCTGATTTTGGTGAACAGCCTACCTCTCCACCCTTGCAATATTTAAAAATAGCTTTTTCAAAGTGGCTCAGAAAAGAACCTAGCCAGATGATATAATTCCCCACTCTTTATCTTTCCCCTTTGTTTCACTTGGAGGAGAATAGCAGGAGACACAGAAATAACTGCAGATGAATAACCTTCCTCTCTCCTTACCTCTTCTTTCTCCAACCGGCAGCACTGCCACCTGATCAGTAGTGCTTTGAAGCCTCCCTGGCTGCAGCTGCCACATCCACCCAGTACATTCCATTCCCCATCCAATTTCCTTTCCGGCATCCTGCAGCTACAGAGTGTGATGGGTCCTCATGAGGCTCTTTTGGGGGTCTTGCCCCGTAGGGCGCCTTTTTTGCTTCCGAGATTCTTGAGGAGCCTCCAAGTCTGAAACCTTCCTCCTGCATGTGGATGGTGTTGTTTTTGTACTGGTACTTAGCCCGGATTTTGGAAGCAGAAGGAGGAAGTGGGACTTCACTCGCAGCAATCATTCATTTGAAATTGTCCTGACTCCTGAAGAAAGGCTTTAAAAATCAGTCTGCATGTTAGAACAACATCTTAAACACTCTCACACAGCTCCTTTTCTTTCTAGAATGCAGATGTGCTAAACTACATTGACAATATATTCTTCTTAAGCCTATTCTGAAAGTGTGAGATTAAGGGCAGAATTGATGTGAAGGGCCACAAACAGAAGAGCTGCATTTTCTCCATGCTTTATCACCCCATGATCTATTGCAGGCAGACTGGGAGAAAAGTACGGGGGAAACAGACCATGTGAGAAGAGCTAAACCCTTTCACTGTTAAACCCCTTTTGTAAAAAAGTACTCCAAAGCTACTTCTGCTTTATATGTCAAAGGAACAGATGTGGAAGTCAAATATGGCTGCTTTCACCTTGTCCAATATGGCCTTAAAGTTTACTTTAGCAGAAGTTCCCGAGCCAGTCACATTAAGGAAGTAAGGCAAGGTATTTAAGAACTAGATCTCAGCAACTATTCAACATTTACATGTTAGAGTTTGACAGTTACTTTCAATATGTTTCCCATTAAATTTCTGTTTACAGGAATTGATCGCAAACATTTGCTACATGACTGGAAGAATTTCTAGCTTGCAAAAGCTCAGAGGAATGGGCCTTGGTTAAGTGATGTCTTTGGGGTTCCAGCATGTGGTCAATAAACATAGTGAAATTAAATAATCTTAACAGTATCTCAAAAGCAATCTTAAAACAAGAAACAACTAATCAGCATGTGTATCTTTAACCAGCAGAAGCTGACCCACTAAAAGAATACCTTTGCACTTTATGTCTTAAAGTTCATGCAAACATAAAAGCTTTGAGAGTTGGTAGACTTGCAAGTCACCACAAACTTGATATGAATAATGCTCACCAATTTGAAAAGTCAACATTTATTACATCAGTAGTTCTTTCTTGAATAGATATGGGTGTTAACAAACTTCACAGGAAAAGAAAAAGCAAGCAAATTGGTAAGAATTCAAATAGCCACTTCTATTAAGAATCACAGAATATAAATTCTCAGTACATTGACATCAAACATAGTAAACATACACACAAAAACTGCATATAATCCCGTATGATCCAGCCCTAGAGCAATTTCTTAGACGTAAAGGCTAGTAGCATCCACAAACAATTTGTGCTTCTCATAGATGCTTTGCTTTGTTATCCCAGGAAGATTTCAAGAGCTTTCAAGCTTTTAATTTATTTGGGGGGTGGGAAGATCCTGATAGTTAAAGAAACATATATCTATAGCATCTGTCTCAAGGAAAATAAAATTTGAGAATGAATTCATGTACAGAATCCAGCAGGACACTTTCTCCAGCACCCCACAGTTTCTCCTCTGCAAGCAAGGCCCACCACTTATGCTCGTAGGATTTAACACGTACAAGAGGAAGCTCCACAATCTGCAGAAATCCCTATTTCTGGAAGGGGGCAGGTAAGTGGAGCTCCCCTATGGGAACTCTTTTAAGGTTGTTGCCATAAATGTTAACACTCTCTTGTATAACTAAACGGAGCTTGCAGAAGGGAATTTGTGGAGAACAAGAAAATCAGCAGGCGTGTAAAAGCAATGCTAAATACCACCCCAAGTTTTTACTTACAGCCATGTGAATAGTCCTTCACTTGGCCATCTGAATTTACATTCATATGTTGGGCTGGAATGGCAGGCAGTATTTATGGGCATTTCTCCTGTAACTCAGGATCTATCCATGGTATAAGACATAAATCCACAACCCCCAACCCCAAAAAAGCCCTCCCCAAAAGCTAGTAATTTTTATCCTTTTTCACAATCCCACTTGGAACAGTGATTTCTTCAGAAACTACCTAGTTTGCTGGCATGGATACCAGGCAAAAAGCAGATGTTGCTTGTGTGTTTTTTTAATGAGTAACAATTAGTGCTACAAAATGTGCTTCTTAAAGGTGCCACAATTTGCTCTATCCTTCCTTAATACATTAAAGCAGGAACAATGCTTGTCCAGTAGTACAAATTAATTCAAACTAAGTGCAGCTGAACCTTGTCAAATTCATAAGTCCAAATATACAAAAAATAAAACCAGTGTACAATTTTTTCTCTGTCCCCCAAAGAAGTCTTGATTATGTTTCATGAATAGTGGAGAATAATGTGCATTGCAGACCTGCAGATGTATCCCCATGTCCAAGTCAGAGTCCATCTGAAATATCTCTTCTAATCATGAAGATGTTTGATGGGATTAAAAAAAAAAAAACTAGAGCGAAGTTCCCTTAAAAACTTATGGCAGAGCTTTCAATGAAGCTTTGCAATGTTAAGAAAGTGCATGTACAGTTTAATGCAGCAATATGGCATTGTCAATACAATTGCTTCATCATTTCCCAAGTGCACACAATGGATCTGATGGACCAGCCCGCTTAGTCTAAACTATGTCAGCAGCTAACATAAAGGAATCAACAGCCAGGGGGGTCAATGAAGCACTCTTATGTTTGTATCAACAAACCTTTTCAATCAAGAGCCATAAAAAGGGGTGCAACACAACCACCCCAATGGGTAAATTAACTGATGGTGGACCATCACACCATGGGAACCAGGTCACTGCTTCCTTGTGGAACTACTGACCCAGTCACATCTGAACGGATCTATTATCTATTTGTGCTTATTGCTCAATCTAGGACTGCCTCCCAGAATCTCCAAAGCAGCCTTCTCCAAACTAGTGCCCTTCAGATGGTTTTGGATTACAATTCCCAGCATTCCTGACCACTGGCTATGCTGGCTGGAGCTGATGGGCATGAGGTCCAAAACATCTCAAGGGACCTAGACTGGGAAAGGTTGCACTAAAAGTCTCCCTGATCCCTGCCCTGGGTCATACTCGTATCTTTGTGCTCTTGTATAAATGTACAACATTTGGTCACAAGACTCAGCTGCTAAGCACAAATAACATATCTCTGGAAGATGCTCTAGTCCTACTGTATTCTTAAAGAACTCTATATATGATTCCAAGGACACTTAAGTTTCAGCTAACAGCTGAAGACTAGTATGAAAAATTGACAATTTTTTCCTTTGACAGCATTAAATTCTTCTAGAAACTTTTAAGACACACATCCAGAAAAAGTTAGAAAGAGAATTAAATTGAATATTTGGCACAATTATGCAAGCTATCAAAGATACCTTCATTTTCACACTTGTGAGAAAAAAAAGTATAAAGAAGCACTTTTTTTCTGCTCTATCTGCTCCAAAAACATGTACCTTAATTAGTGAAAATTTCCAGATTTCTCTGAAGATCAGAAACTCACATGATTTATCCCTTTATTATGGTTAGGATGGATAACTGAGGGACAGGTAAATCTATATTTTGTAATCTATATCAGGCTTGGGCCTCTGAGATGCTCTGAACTACTTGTAGGCCAAAACTCCTGGCAGACCACCAGTTGTCCACCCCGATCTATATACAGAGTGTAATTTCAGAGTTATTGTTTTACAAACATTACCATAGTTCTAACACATTTCTACACATAAACACTACAACTTCCATTTTAAGGGGTGGGACAAACAAATATTGCTATGCACAGTTTTCAAATGTTTTTAACCTGGCATTGATTAGAGGTTCCTAACAAACGGCTATTGTAAACCGCCAAAACAGACATATTTAATTTCTAAATATTCATCAATGCCATATTTTGAACCTTCTCTTCCTAGTCCAGATTGTTTTACGCCACCAAAAGGACACTCCACAGCAGACAGCAGTCCTTCATTAATACCAACCATTCCAACCTCCAGCTGCTCTGCAACTCTCCAAATCTGGGCAGGATCTCGTGAGTAGAAATAACCTGCAAATTGAGCCACTGATTACAATGCAGAGTAAAAAGACTTTTATAACTTTGGAAAAGATACACATTTTGAATAATAAGAAAAGTCAAGATATGTCCTATGAATCTGAACTATGCTGCATCTTGAATGCTTTGGGAAGGTCAAATTTATACTACTTACCTGCTAAACCCACACTGACTGAATTTGCTATGGCAAGAGCTTCTTCCTCTGTATCAAACCTGCAAGCACAGAGGAACAGCAGAAATAGTAGATGTAGAAAATAATTGTTCTTTTAAAGGCTAAAATAAATGCTTTGTTCAAAATGCCATTACAGAACTCCCCTACAGAAAATGTGAAAGAAAATGCCAGTGCCAAAGTCACTGTGCTTATATCCAGGTCATTCCATGAAGTACTAAAGCAACTGGAAGAAAAACGGTGAGTGTGCCCAGCCCTCAGAAAATTCCTATTGAGCAAATCTTTGCAGTATTTTAGCACTCCAACATTGTTTCTGTAGGGACATCCTTGAGAACAGCAATTTAAGCTCCACCTGGCCTATAAAAGCCTGAGCCAGTGCCAGAGGCTGCAGGAGGTAAAAGCATTTATCTGAAAGGGGTGTTTTCTCTTACACATCTCTTCACAACCCACAAAAACTACAGCAAGAAACACAATGCTCTCTCTTCTAGATTAACTAAAATGCTAATCTTTTTTTTTTAATGGAAGGCTGTGAAAACTGCTACAAGATTGGAAATTCAAGGACTTGATTAATATACTGTCAAAATGCAGTAAAATCATCTTTTGAAATGAGATTTCTCAGAATATTCAGACATACAATGCAAGAATATGTGCACTACATGTAGATCATTAGAAAATCCCTTGATCCCTGATGGGGGCGGCATAGAAATATTTTAAATAAATAATAAAAATAAATCTTAGGAAATACGTACTTTCCCCTCCATATTTTCGAAACAAAATTTCTGACATCTTGTAGATGTTTTTTGTTGGAGGCTGGCAAAAGGCACACTTGCAATCACGGTTAAGTATGTGCCGATTTCACCCATGCAAGCCAGGTATTTTTCTCCAGTTGATCCCTCCCAAGTCACAGAGTTTGCAAAATGTTAACTAGCAGTGAACCCTGTTACACATAAATACTTGGTTGAGCTCTCATGATTGCAATGGTTCTCACCATTTGTGGAAGTCTCAGAATTCACAGGGGCAGAACAGCTGTGGGTGTTCCAACATGACATTTTGCAATGATCTTTAACCCAGGGACACTTAGGAGGGAAAGATGGTTCCTTTGGTAACCCTGCCTCATGTCAAAAATATCTAACAGGCCTATCACAACCCAGTTGGTCTTTCAGCATGTAAGATTAATCAACTGCAATTTTATACAGAAAATGATAGTGCATGACCAGCACAATAGCCTATTTTACTTGATAACTGGAGCCAAAGGACCAAACGTCTCCTCTTGTGTACACAGCATGCCTGTTGTGACATTGCTAAGCAGAGTTGGCTCAAAGAAGTTCTTCCCATAACAGTGCCTTTTGCCTCCTGTAACTATGGATGCTCCCTGGGAAACTGCATCTTGAATGTGTCGTTCAACCTAAGATGGAGACAGAAAACTTAACTTAGAACTGGATTGCCCACAAATGTCCAAGTAGCATTTTTAGTACATAAGCTTATGTAGGCAGAGACAACAGACAGACTGCTGGGACTACTTAAGAAACTAAAAAATAAACTTACTTTTTCCACAGCTTTTTCATTAATAAGTGGCCCCTGGGTAGTCCCTTCATCGAACCCATGCCCAACTCGAAGTTCTTTCTTAATGGCTTGTGCAAACTTTCCCACAAATGCATCATGGATCCCCTTTTGTACCAAGAAGCGATTTGTGCACACACAAGTCTGGAAGTAAAGAAATGTGTTTCTTTCTGATAATTCAGTGAAGACTAACATAATCACAATTGTTATAACATTGCCCTGCCTCTATGCCTGGCTGCATCCTTTGTCTATGTAGCCTTCCATCTGAAATAACCTACAATGCATGTAATGGATATTTATATGGATGTATATCTACATATTTCCTTGAGCTACCTTTTCCTTGCAGCACTTTCTTACTCCTTCAGCTGCCTTAGTGCTGATATGGTTCCCACTTTATTTTATTCTTGTATTTTCACTTCCCAGGACAGTGGAAATTATGGCTGTTTGACTGTAAAATTTTGATGACTGGTTTTATCAATAATATACTGATGCTATGCTAAAAATGCTGAGTGAAGACAGACATCTCAGGAAGGGACCAGTTTCCATTTAAGTGCAAGAGAGATTAAAATATAGATAAACATTGTAAGTATTGTTATTCAAGTTATTAAAATATTCATTCTGGGTATGTTCAGTCATTTCCTTTTGCTTCCAGTGTCCCAGACGGCTTTCCTCCATTGCCCCAAAAAGCATGGCTTCCGTGCATGCTTATTTAGAAGTAATACCCACCTGAGTCAATAGCTATAAGTTGGTGTCCTGCAACAGCAGGTGGTTGGAGCCGATGGTCTTCATAGACCTTTCCAACTCTAGTATTCTATGAACTTGGTCCCACTGAAATCTGAGTTAGCTGTCCTTAATTTTGTCTCAGTTGTGTTGTGAATTGACAAGCTTACTATTTTTATTAATACTACTGCTTTCATAGATTTAGGGTGTCTTCAACAGAAATGTCTTAATCCCCCCATCCTGTCAAGGACAAGACACAATCAAAACCATAAAGGAAAGGTGCTCAAATTATCTGCAGGTATATAGGGGGGAAACACGGGGTCCATAAGATAGAACCAAGTAGGGCAATCCATCTCACCTGGCCAGAGTTTCGGTATTTAGAAGCTAAAGCTCCTGCAACGGCTTTGTCTACATCTGCACTGTCGAACACGATGAAAGGAGCATGTCCTCCAAGCTCCATGGAGACCCTCTTCACAGTGCCAGCAGCCTGGCGCAGCAGTATCTGTGAGTATACAGAAGACACAAAAAAGAGTGCACCTATACAACTGAGTAGGTCAACTACGTTTTCCTAAGAACAAAAGCAGACTTGGGTTTTTTGGTTAAACATGCCTAGGATTTCACCCTAAGTGAGTCAAAGTGACTACAGATTTGGACAAGTTGTCAATTTAATTTCAAGGAAGGACAGTCAACATCTGTCCTAAGGTGAACACAGAATAACTTTCAAAACTCTTACTAGGTAGTACTTCATGTATGTGTGTATTGCAAGCCCCAAACCACTAGTTCCAAGCTGTCTCATTAACGTAAACAGGACCAGTAGAGAGAAAATGAGTTTGGTTTTTGTCTTCAGTAGCAAAATGTGTTTAGTTCAAGAACCAACACCACTAACAGTATCTTCATAAATTATTAGACCTCTTTGAACTAGGATTTACAATTTGTCACATCTTATCATGATCAAAATATCCAGGGAACTAGCATCTTTGTACAGTGCAATTTCCCACTGTGGTAATTTTATATGGAAAATCTATATGGATCCCCTGATGGGCTAAAGCATAACCTCAAATGCTGTGAAGGTTCAGAAGCATAGAGTGCCAAACCTCTGATACACAAAACATACCTTTCCTGTAGCCGTTGAGCCAGTAAAAGAGATTTTGGCTACCAAAGGGTCAGTGCATAGTACTTCCCCAACTGCTGCTGCCTGTTGTCTAGAACATGGAACCACATTATATACTCCTCCAGGAATTCCAGCTCTGTTTGCAAGCTGTAGTGAAAACACAATGTATGCAAACTGAAAGTGTAAATTTGCCCCAAAAGCTGGCAAAATCCACACAGCCAACCAACCACCTTTTTATGAGAAAACATCCATGACTCATGAACACAGCAATCTTACTTCTGCAAGTGCTAAAGCGGATAAGGGGGTATCTTCTGCTGGTTTCACCACCACAGTACATCCAGCTGCCAAAGCTGCACCCACTTTCCGTGTAATCATAGCACTTGGAAAATTCCACTATGCAGAAAAGATAGAGATACATATTTAAAGTCAACAGGATATTTGGCATACTGAAATAACTGGCAATTCCTGACATTCCTACAGGACTATAGGAATTCCCCCCCCCCCCATTTGCCCTCCCGCCCCCTGAGATCGGCAACAGAAGCCCTCCTCCGGGAACCCTCTGTGAAAGATATTAGGAGACAGAGTACCCGGAGGAGGGCCTTCTCTGCGGTGGCGCCCTGTCTATGGAATGCACTCCCCAGAGAGGTCTGCCTGGCGCCGTCATTATATGTTTTTCGGCACCAGGTTAAGACCTTTTTATTTAATCAATATTTTAATAAGTTTTAATATTGAATTGTATTACTGTATTTTATTAATTGCAGCCAGAGTGGGTCATCAATTTATTTTTGCTGTTAGCTGTCCAGAGACGTTAGTAATTGGACAGCATACAAATTTTATAACTAACTAACTAACTCACTGGGGAAAATTAGATTGTCAGACCACCGACTCTCATATGGATCTGCCTAGAGACCTTGGAAGCCCTATTTTCTGTCTGGCTATTAAAAGCCATCAAATTAGCAGATACCAGCAATAAGGGCCTTTTTCAGTGATGGCTCCACATGTCTGGAATTTCTTCCCCTGGAAAGAGTGCATCCCCCTTTCTTTGCTGGTAACTTTAAAGTGAAACTTAACATCTTTTTTTGGTGATAGTGATTTTTTTTCTTTTTACTGGTTTGGTAAGGTAGCTGCTGCTGTTCTCAAGTGTAGTGGCTTTTAATTTTTGCATTTTTAATTTTATCTTGAACAGTTATGGTACATTTTTGCAAGTTATCTATCATAAAGGATGCAATGTTAATTAAATAAATTTATTTCCCAAACATACTACAATATTTGAACCCAACAGAAGAAACCCAAAAACTGAGTTTCCAGTGGAGAGAAGCCTGAAGCTTCTATAGTTTCATAGCTACTAGTGTGGTTTACTTTGTAATTTATCACTAAGTCCTAAAACAAGCTTTCTGAGTAGGCAGAGGGGAGCAAAACACTGTATTACATTCAGCTTGTAAGCAAAATTTGGATTTTTGTTGCACAAATTTTACTCTACTGAGTTTAAAGCACTACTATCATAAGGGAAGCTGCTTTTATCATAAAGCAGGTCATAATACTATCATAACACAAACCTGCTTATTCTGAATAAATATAAATACAGAAAATATAATACACTTAAACAATCAGCTGAACTCACAGGAGTAATGATGGCAGCCACTCCCACAGGCTGCTTCAGTACCATGGTTCTTCTGTCTTTTGCATTAGATGCAATGATGTCACCATAAATGCGCCGAGCTTCTTCTGCAAACCATTCCAAGAAGGAAGCAGAGTAAAGAATTTCACCTTGGGCTTCCTTCAGGGGTTTCCCCTATAAGACATTCAAAATATAGAAATCAGCTTGCAGAGAGCTATACAACATCTTTTTAACAAAATTATCACAATGAAAAAATATTATACATTTGGATTCATACTAGCCCATTAAAAAATTCTGATGTGCAGTTTTAAAAAATCTGATTTTGTATAAGCTTATTCACCTGCTGACTTCCCAAGTGCTACTGCAAAACCTTAAAATCGTTATTGATATAAGGACTTATGGTCCTTATAAACCATAAAGGCATTATGTAAGTCCTAAAGAAGGCGCACTGGAATGAATGAGATTCATGCATTGCTGCACACTTTGCTAGGCTGGGTCAACATGGAATCCATATACCACAAAGGTAATTAGGGAAATCATGCAGCATGCAGCCAGCACATGAAAAGCAGGAAAAAGAAGTCACTTTTCTCCTGTGATGAACTTGGCCTTAGTCAGGTTCTGCTTTAAGAGCCTTGACTTTACAATGTGAAAACATCAGCTGTCTGCAAGGGCCAAGCCTTCACTGTGATTGCCTTCTGTCTATGCACAATTATCCTGCTGAGAATCAGAACTGCTCCTCTCATTCAGTCCTCCAGATCTTTTCATTTACTTGTTTCTATTTGTTGGTGTCAATTCCTAGGATGCTAGAAGTACAACATCCATTAAAGCTAATATACTGTTGTTTAATGCCATGCCAGGCTTTCTGAGCTCAGTATGAACAGGCCAAAATGTTTTAGCTAAATATACTTGCACCTACACTATTATGCCTGCAATCCTATACAACTTCCAGCTTCCAGGGTCTTTGATCTTTTCTAGAACCTCAAGGACCACTTTGAGGTCAGGTGAAAAATATTGGCTGAGGTGGGTGGACAGATAAACATCCAAACGAACTAAGGAGAAGGGTGCCTTTGATCACTTGGTGCAAACAAACAAAAATATTTTCAGTATCAGAAATGCACTCACAGTGCTTCACAAAAACTAAACAAAAGCAACCCACTCCTGGTTTTTCTCCTAAAAAGCTCTCTATTTCAGCAGCCCTTTTTTGTGGGACAGTGCTGAGGGAGAGCTTTTTAGAACAGGAAGTCAGAAACCATTGCAAATATAATGAAAATCACCCAGTGATGTACCAACAGATCCTGCTCTAAGGTTGTGTACTGGATCATACAAAGGTATCTGAATTGCACTCAATGGTTGTTTCCATCTTTTGGGCAGGGTTCTTGTAACCAGCAAACTTAATTTCAGTGGCACAGGAATTTGGTATCTTCTGCTTATACTTACATTCTCTGCTGTAATGATCTTTGCAAGCTCATCTTTATTCTCTATCATCAAATCGTACCATTTACGAAGAAAAGCTGCTCTTTCCTGAAGAAGAATGGTTATCTTTTATGAGGTTTAAGTAAGTAGCTGAGTAAAATAGAGAACAAAAATGACCATTGTTCCAGTATTTCTACTAGCTGTAAGATATTTTTAAAGATGCAAAAGCACCCTGCAGTATGTTCTTCCAACAATCCTGTGAAGTAGATCCAGATTCAGGTTGATTATAATCCACAGGACCACAAACAGATGTTACTCAAACTGGCTCCTGGCCAGACATTTAAATAAACAACAATAAAAGACTACAAGATGACAAAATTAAATATAATATTACAAAATGAACTCTCTGCATTTGTAATTAATTGGCAACATAATTCTATGCATATCTATTCATAAATAAGCCCCATAAAGTTTAATGGAATATATTCCTAGGTAAATATGTATTGGATGGAAGTCTTAAGGCATAATCCTATCCAAGTTTAGGCAGAAAAGAAGTCCTACAACTTCCAACATTCCCTGACTATTATACTGAGAAATGCTGGGAATTGTAGGGCATGTTTCCGTCTAAGTATGCATAGGATTGTAGCCTCAGAAGCACCTTGACGATTCATCTGTCCGCAGTCTGCCCTACAAATGCATATTGGGTTCATACAAATGCCATCACTATAAACACATGTACACTTTCCCCCATGTCCCTTTTAAGTTCTACCAAGCACCTCTGTAAAAGCAAATAAACTGCCAATAAAATACTTCCTTTAGTTCCATGGTGCAAGCTGTATAAATATAACCTCTAGGTTGAGCCATAATCCTCCTCTCCATACTGGATGTGTCTGTATCTTTATCTAGCCCAGTAGATAATCTATCAACTGTTATTGTGCAGGTTTACCTTGAAAAATGCACTTTGATCTAAAAAAATCAAATAAATCCCTTTGACTCTGAATCACAGGACATTTGATGGAAATGTAGAGCAGGCCCATTGAAATAAATGGGGCTGTAATCAGTCAAGTCTCATAGATTTCTACTCCAAATATGACTAAGCGTAGATTGAACCAGCATTGTTTAATCCTACAACTGGTGAAGACATGATCTGTAGTGGGGCACTCTCCAGAAGTTTTGGCCTACTGCCACCATCAATCCCAGCCACTCTGGCCCATGATAATGAGAGCTGTAGTTCAGGTTAATTATTGTTTTTGTGTGTATTATTACTGGATTACATTGGATGTGTTATTTTAGTAGTGTGAGCTACCTAGGGATGCCACTGGTGGAACAAGTGGCATAGAAATATTTTAAATAATTAAATACTTACTAAAATTTCTGATTTTATTCTGTTTATTACTGTTCTGTGAGCCACCCAGAGAGCCCCTGGGCCATGGGGTGGCATACAAATATAATAAAAATATTTAAAAATCTAACGGGCACTTGATGTAAGTGCTACAAAACACAGTGAGACTATACTGCGTATGCATGAACCGCAAAGTAAACGGTGGTCAGTGGTGCTGGGCTAAAACAAAGCAATCCACACATGCTCAGAGTCACCCTTTCTTTTTGCATTCTTGGACACAAAATCCTGGCTTATTTCTCCCCATCCTGGGGAAACCTCTTGGATGGAGTGGCTCCCTTCCTCTACGATTGCTAGACGGCCCACCGGCGAACTTGCGCTCACCGCGCGCAGGGGCTGGGCCACCCCGCCAACCTAACCGGGGAGCCTCTGCCTCCTCCTCCTCCCACGTGCGTGCAACCGTCCACCTGCCCCCACGCAAAAGAGGCGCCGCCGGGAGCGGGCAGCGGCGCCTCTCGAGCTCCCCTGTCCCCTGCCAGACACGCCTCCTCGCCCGGCCCCTCACCTTCGCGGAGACCGCTCTCCAAGCCGCGCCAGCTTCGTAGGCGGCCCTCACCGCAGCCTGCGCCTCGGCCACCCCGCAGTCGGCCACCCGGCTCAGCTCCGCGCCGCTAGCCGGGTCCTGCACGGGGAAGGCGGCTGCCCCCGGCACCCAGCGGCCTCCCACGAAACCTTGGGAGCGCACCAGCGGCGAGGCTGCGGGCCCCGCGCTGCTAAGCCGCCTCGGGAAGGGGCCCGTCGCCCTCGGCCCTGCCGGAGGCGCCCGCTGCAGCAGCAGCCGCGGCCCGCAGCGGCGGGGGGCCAGCAGCGCCCCAAGGCTCCGCGCCGCGAGCCGAGTCGCCATGGCCGCGCCTTCTGGGACAGAGGGTGGAGCGCGGGGCGAGCAAGCGCAAAGGGCTCGCGGGGTGTCGGTGCAGCGCCTCCTGGCCGGGTTAATCCCGCGCCTCCTTCGCCGCCGAGTTGCCCGGGCGCCGAGCGAGGCCCGCAGCCGCAGCAGCAGCAGCGATGTGCCTCGCCAGCTCCCTTTCTAAAGCTGCAGTCCTAGCCACATTTACCTGGGAGTAAGTGCTGCTGAAATGGGGCATGCCTGTGAATAGACGTGCGTGTAGGACTGCACTGCGACTCAGTTACAAAATAGTCGAAGGAGGTGGGGTGGGGGAAGAGTGTGCGTTTTTAAAAATTCAGGGTCGTTCAGTAGGCATCTTGCTTATCTTTGGACCACCCTGCCAGCCTGGTAGTCAAGACCCTTTTGCTGTTTATATAGATCAGCCTTTCCC